CACTCTCCGCTTCCGTTTGTCGTCCGACGTCAACAACTTCTCCTTGTCCAAGGTAGCCCTACAACAGTTTAGACGACAGGGCGGATCAAAGAACTCAAGCTCAAAGTAATCAATAGATTTTCAAGGGTATTCAAGTTCATCACAGCTCAAAGAATCACTCTTCTGGTTGGAACGAGTTTGTTCCCGAATCGCGCACTCCAAGGAAGAGACTAACTTAGCCTCGAGCAAGGATAGGCAGTTGAGGGCAGCATTACCTTATAGTTCATGGGTTACGTGTCAAAACTGCTTTTAACTAGCTGCAATCGGACATGATACATCTCGTCGTGTGACTTTCTTCAAATTACGAGTACCTTGGTTTAGACGCGCTTATTCACAGCATACCTAAGGTACTTGATTCTGTTTTCAAGAGCGCGGTAGAAGGCGAGATTCATGGTTTCACAAACGACCTTCCCAGGCAAATTTGTACAACCTCGGTCCTGTCAAGTTCTGTTTCATCTTATGCTTTACGGTATTGCCTTTTTCCTTCAACGCCACATCAATGTTCCTCCTTCTAAACGGCCACAGCTTGTTCTACTATCTATTCCTGACGCTTCGGCAACGTGAGAGTATCTTCCATCAACGATTTTGAGGCTGTCTAGGCTGCGTACCTTTCGGCAGTAGCCAGCTGGGGTCGGGGAGTGATCACCTAGTTGGTCGTGACAGAGCTTCTGCTAATAACTTCTAGTTTCGACCTCACGCATAATTTTCTTACCTTTCGGTGTTGGCATCACATCACGTCCAGACAGAGATGCCAGATCTCTCACTACGCCTATCAATCTCTGATACGCCATTATCTCCTGGAAAGAACGAGATCAGTCCTCACTTCTTGTGACTTTGTTAGACAGAATGTCAACGCCAGGAGCCGCCAGTGCTAGATGTCTTCGAAAAGCTCCGGTTGCTCTCCTCGCATGCTACATGCATCAGCTCCACAGAAAACCAAGTAGGCGGGTAGAATCAAAGAAAGCGAGCTAGCATGCGCTTGATGCTTGAGAAACCAATACCTGCTATACTCAAGAGGCAAGGCTAGCCCTTGGAATAAAGAGAAAGTGGAAAGCGAGAGGAGTGTCCTCACTTCTCTTAAATGGCAATTGCGACAGATCCTGGCACCCATGTCAGATGCTGTCTGCTGTCCAGCTTGAATTAGCCCACGTTCAGACTTGCGATACCCGTCGTTATCGACCAAAGTCCCTTTGAGACCGTAATGCGTTTAAAAATGTTTCCTAGAATCTCGACGGAGGGTTCACCTGAACCGGGTCATTCTCGGCTCTTGCCATCTCATAGGTCTTACATGCCGCAATGCCGTATCCCCTCATTAAGACTGCACGTCCCGTAAAATGCATGCAACTCTCACCACCTAATCAAATGCGACATAAACCGGGCGCTAAGCTGCCGGTAGCGGGGCCGACGTAATACGATATCGAATGACACAAAAGCTATTTCTATCACACCTCAGACCTTGTCGACGAATGTTAGAAAACCCCGGTAGATCGACATCTTCAAGGCCGCCATAGGAAACTGCGGTGCGACGTGGTGCTGACATCTCCATATAAGCGTGATAATCACGTCTTGACTCCGTCAACTCTGAAGTTTACAGCAAAGAGTGAAAATGATACAAAAGACCTTTATTCTCTCGTGGGACAGCGACTTCCTAGTCCTCAAGGTAAGCTAGAAACTTGCGACGAGTGTCACCTCAACATCTAGCAACACCAGACAAACCGCTCACCATGGCCATCCCAATCCTCCCATCCCTCGACCTCTCCCCCCTCCAATATACCGCGCTCTTCCTCGCCCTCCTAACCCTCTACTACACCCTCACCTCCCTCCTCACATGGCACCGCCTCCGCCACATCCCAGCCTACTCCCCCCTATCCACCTTCTCCTACCTCCCACTCTTCCTCATCGCCCGCTCCGCCCGCCAAGAAGAAATCTATCGCACCCTCAACGCGCAACACGCGAGCTCCCGCCTCGTCCGCGTCGGCCCCAATGAGCTCCTGACAGACGACCCCGCCGTCCTCCGCCGCATCAACGCCGTGCGCAGCGACTACGGCAAGGACCCGTGGTACTTCTCCAGCCGGTTCAACCCCTATCAGGAGACCATGTTCACCACGCTCGACAAGGGGGAACACGACCGGATGAAGGCCAAGACGGCGGCGGCGTACGCGGGGCGGGAGGTGGATTTGTTAGAGCCGAGTGTTGATGTGCAGGTTGTGAGTTTGGTTAGGCTTTTGCGGGAGAGGTATGCGTATAATGGGGATCTCAGTGGTGGTGAGGGAGGAGGAAAGTTGGTGGATATGGGAGTCTTACCGGCGTATCTGACCATGGATGTGATCACCACCGCCGCGTTCGGTAAGCCGTTTGGGCATTTGGAGGCTGATGCGGATGTGTTTGGGTTTATCAAGCAGATGAGGGATAATTGGCCGCTGATTGCGATTACGTTGGATACGCCGTGGATTCGGACGATTCGGTTCTCAAAGTTGTTTCTGAGGTGGCTTGGGCCGAGGACGACGGATGAGATTGGGCTTGGGCAGATGATGGGGTGAGTATCCTTTTCAATCGTGGGAGTTGTTGATGCTCGGGGGTTGTAACTAATGGGTGAGTGACTAGGATCGCAGAGAAATACGTCGGGGAGAGGTTCAAGTCCACCTCGAAGCCTCAGAAGGACATGTTGGTACGTCTATATTGACGAGCCTTCCTTCCTTCGGAGAAGCTTGCTGATGAAAGTCGACACAGGGATCCTGGATCAAGAACGGCATGACCCAGAAGGAATGCGAAGCCGAAGGCCTCTTCGCCCTCGTCGCCGGCTCCGACACCACCGCCTCCGTGATCCGCGTCACCATGCTGCACCTAATGTGCAACCCCAGGATCTACCACAAATTCAAGGCCGTCATCCAGGAGGCTGTTGCCTCTGGTGTCTCGACTCCTGTTACCTTTGACCAAGCCAGCAAGATCCCATTCTTACGTGTACATATCCAACCCCCCCAACCTGGGATACCTACCCAAATACGCGACGATACTAAAACCTCACAGGCTCTAATCTACGAAGGCATCCGGATCCGCGCCCCAGCAACAGGCCTCTACCCCAAAACCGTCCCGCCACAAGGCGACACCATCGACGGCAAGTTCATCCCCGGCGGCACCGCCATCGGCATGAACGCACCCGCACTCCTCAAATCCCCCTTACTCTTCGGCCCCGACGCGGAGCTTTTCCGGCCGGAGCGGTTTCTCGAGGTCGACGACGACGCGGCCAGGCTGAGCATGGAGCGCGACGTGGAGATGGCGTTTGGGTACGGGCGGTACATGTGTGCGGGTAAACCTGTAGCGTTTATGGAGCTGTACAAGGCTTTCTTTGAGGTATGTGTCTTCGCAACGACTAGATGAAGAGGTAAGTTGGGTACATGTTGGATATGGATACTGACGGTGTGATATAGCTGATGCGCAATTTTGATTTCGAGCTCGCGGATCCGGTGAGGCCGTGGGATTCGTATAGTTATAACATCTTTGTGGAGGAGAACATGTGGACCAAGGTGACCATTTCGGAAATCAAGTAGGAGTTTATCGCTGCGTGCGTCGTTTGAGAAATGAGAGTTGCGTTTCCTCTTAGACACTCGGTTTGATCATCGAGTTTCCCTTCTCCTGGAAGGTAGCAAGCGAAAGGCAACAATTTGATGTGCTTGGTAGGCCTGGTTCTAGTAGCCATTGCCGAGTTCCTAGAATAAACAATTCTGGATACATTCCGTCGTAACTACATACCGATATGTTCTGGTTTAAATTGCTCAACCAATAGACATGGTGCCTGAATTCCACCCCCAATGGACAGCCTGGCCTGTGCCATCAACCGGCATGAAGCTTGTGAATGTCGACTATCCACATATGTGTGTTTACTGGCCCAAGCAAGAGCATGAAGATTGAGGTGATCCAAGATAACAAGCCCGGCCCGCGTGATCGTGACCCGCACAGTAGCGCCCGTCTAGGTCGGCGAGGTCAGGTCAAGCTGTGTGCGAAGTGGTTCAATGGTCAAAACAAAAATAAATACTCCCACGAAGTCAGAGTCCGGGTTGACTGAGGGGTGCGCTGTTTGATTCCGGGCAGGGGCGTGAATTATATGGTCAGTATTCCCCCTTCCCTTCCTACCCTTCTTTTTTTCTCTCTCGTTTTCATACTAAGCAGTAACACACTCCACGCGCACACAAGAACACATACACACGCACTCAGATTCAGATTCCGGCCCGAAACATCGCTTTCGATAATCATTCTTCAAAAAAAGCCTCAAACTGCTTCCCCATTGTAGAAATCATCCAATCTGGCGTGCCACATGACCGACATAGGCTCTAGCATCGATGACGAACATGAACTCATGGCATGGATCGTCAACGAGGCACAATAAGGTTCTGACAGAGCGCCCACTCCCGTGCGCCGCGCGCACGTTATGATGCACGTCTTTCGCGTAGCACGAAATCGCCAATGCGGGGGAAGAAGCTGACAGAGGAGGGCGAAAAAGTACAGATACCTGGAACCAATTAGCGCCTATATTGCCCATTCGCAGAGCAGCAAAGAGCCTCGTGGAGGGCTTCAGCTTCCCCACGATTCCCAGTTTGGGATTTGGGAAGTTGAGACTGGGAGCAGTAGGTTGAACCACACGGGACCGCGCGACGCCGGTGCACCCCACGTTCGGTTTCGGGTCGCACCGGACGAAAGTCTACGTGCCGAACGGTAGCTTCAGGCCCCGCCCACTCCTCAGCGGGTTCAAGTTGGAGTAGCAGCGGTGCCGGGATTCTCTAGTACGGGGGCCACTCTCTAAACGCCCACACAACTCGGTTAGAATACGAATAAGAGATATCTAGATTCGGAACTTTTGAGAACTCCGACGCCTCTCTGCTGTTGCAAAACAATTGGCTGGCCAAGGGTATCTCTCTCAAGAGGCTGGCCGCTGACTCTCGCGATCTTCGTGCACCTGATGGGGGGCATCGGGTGCTGCGAACTCCAGCTCCGAGGAGTTCAGACTGAACCCCGGTACTGCAAAATGGCATTTCGGCGCAAGGACCGGCGAGGTGGGGAAGCTCTGGGACTCCCATGAGAAAAGCGTTTAGCGCATTGATCGGCTCGAATTTCAGATGCGACGGGCAAGGAGCGCGTCTTGAAAAGGGAATCTGGCATAAAAAGCCTCCCAGCTCCCCCCCTCCTTTAGCGTTGCGTCATGGAAAAACAAGCTTCCTTCTCCAACTGCACCTAAAACCGTCATCTGTGTAGTTCAAAGAGTTGCAGCGCGCCGACTTCACAGCAGCAGTCGTTTGACACGGAAGCTCCGAATTCCAGGACGGAGGGAAACTGGTGGATATTGATCAGCATGGTGCTGGAATCATGGACGGCGAGGGTCGCCCTCGGCTTCCTGGCGGCTTTGCTGGCATATCTCTGGAAGATCAACCGCGCCATGTCAACGATCCATCCTGAGGCTCTGCGGGTGTCGCCGGATCGATGGACGCCAGAGAAAGTCAAGCGTACCTTTGAGCGCATGGAAAAACAGCCCGTTAACTGGACTCCGCACTTACCGCCGAAATTGGATCGTCGATACATCATTGTTGGAGGCTCTGGCAAGTATTCTGCGAAAACCGTCACGTATCGCTGCTGACCGTGGTATGGAATAGGCCTGGTAGGAGGGCAGCTGGCTATCCAGCTCATTGCGCGTGGCCATCCGCCAGAGGCTATTCGAATCATTGACTTCCGTAAGCCTGGCCGCGACGATATGAGTGAGGGTCCGATATCTAGAGTTGATTTCGCTCAAGCCGATATTTCTTCTGAATCAGCAACCTCTGCCGCATTTGGTAGATCGTGGCCACAGTCGGTAGCACATCTTCCATTGACCGTATTCCATACCGCCGCAGTCATTCGTCCCTCAGAGCGTAGCCAGCTGGTCTACGAACGCTGCTCCCTCGTCAACACTAAGGGAACCGCCCATGTTCTTGCCGCAGCTAGGACTTCGGGAGCAGATGTTCTCGTCTTTACCTCGTCTTGTAGTGTGGCGTTGAAACCCACCAAATTCTTCAATGCTCCATGGAGTTGGTGGCCGACCAACTTCTTCCAGGTCCTTGATGAAGTGGACTTCAAGAAGCCGATGCGTCCTCACGAGGAGTTCTTCGCCAACTATGCCAGAAGCAAGGCCGAAGCCGAGCGGCTCGTTTGCAGCGCGAACAAGGTGCCACAAGACCCCACGCAGGGAGGGGGCTTTCGCACCGGCGCTATCCGGCCAGGAAATGCCATTTACGGCCACAAGGACGATTACCTGGTTGGAGCGACAGTACGCATGGCCAGTTTCCCTACCTTCACAGCGCCCTTTATGCAGAATTGGGTCCATGGGGCCAACGTAGCTCTCGCCCATCTGCAGTACGAAGCAGCCCTGCTCGGCCCTCACGCGCACAAAGTGGCTGCCCGCCCATTCCTTGTCACAGATGGAGGACCGCCTCCGGTTTTCAAGGACTTTTACACACTCGTGCAGTCGGTCAGCGTGACACCCTTTCACGTGCAATACCCGCCGCCACTGATTTTGCTGCTCTTGGCTCATTGCATAGAGGCCTATTGCTTGTTGCTTTGGAAGGTGCCAGCGTTGCAGAATATCTTCTCGGAACCCGGATTGCCGTTGTACATGCTGCAGCCCGCTTCCGTGGCAGGTGCCATCAATGCTATTATCAACGATGCTGACGCTCGTCGACGACCAGAGGAGGGCGGATTGGGATACCAGGCCAAGTGCACGACCATGGAGGGACTGTGTATGCAGCTCGGCGCATGGAATAGGTGGGTGAAGAGCGGAGGCGAGAAAGTCAGAAGCGAGAAGGGCATCGTCAAGGATGTTCTTGAAGTTGGAGTCGAGCCTGTTGCGAGGCGAGCATGAGGTCATAAACTTCAGCCGGCGGTCGACTGCTGGAGATCCCTTTTGGTGCATGTCGAATGAATTCAGATTTCATCTTCGACGACGAATCCCAGAGAGTGGAGTATCCAGGTTTTGCTGGCGCCGTACATAGGAAAAAGTTGTAGCTCTTGAAGAATCGTGCAGCTTCCCGTCGTCGGCAGTAGCTTGGCAGTGTCTTGATCCAAGCTTCAGGTGTTGACCATGTAAATGCCATACACTTGTCGACAGGATGACAGGTGACGTCTTGACCCGGCACGGAGATCCGGAACCTGGATCCTCGTCCGGCCCCCACAACCCCGGCTTGCCAAGTTGGCGGCGCTGGGGGCAGCTGCATGGCGCTCCGAAGATCACTCCTTGGGGTTCTTGTGATGGAAGTCCTGAAAATCCCATGCTTAAGCATGATATCGTTTTCCGATTCAGTCCGTCATAAGCTGTAACGCACGCTAGGAGAGCCTCTCTCGAGTCTCAGAAGCCGATCCATTGACTTTCTAGACAGCGGAAAACCTTGCTGAGGCAGCTCAACAAGCCAAGCCACTCAACAGAAGATGAAGCCATGGACTGAGGGCTGGTGGCAAGATGCTGGCTGTGCGATGCGTTCGTAAGCTTGGTGGCGGGGTCGTGCCAGCGGGTACAGACAAGCAAAGTTCGTATCGGCAGCCTCTTGCAGGTCTAGGCCGACTTTGCGAGCAGTATCTGGCGACGCCGCAAGAAATGCGTAAACTTGGTTCGCGGGTGGCTGGCGAAGAACGGGAGGGTGTGATGAGATGGATGCAGCTGGACGAGGCGGAGAATCTGCATGGCCGAACAGACGCTGCAGATGGTCCGATGTAAGTGACGGTTGGCTGGTCATAGCCGGTGCAACAGACACATGCAGAATGTTTGCGGTTGGCTGGAAGACAATACCTATGGTGCTGGCCATGGGTGAATCACCAATGTACTCTGAAATGGACAAGAGACCGTTTCTGTTGCCCCAACCGTCGCCTGTTGGAAACTGGAACACATCGAAAGCGGATGAGCGTTGCCGTGAGAGACAATACCTAGTCGACTTTTGCATCCGATAGCAAGCTCTGCTTCAGGCGGGTTGGCAGCAGCCCCTCCCGCATACCGGTACCCCAGGCGTTTGGTGCAGATGGCTAGTGTAGATAACTAGTGTCACTGTTGGTGACGATCACTAGAAAGCTGGGCAAGCAATTGACTGCGGTGATTGGACGGCGAGCTCGTGGTAGCTCAGCGCCCAAGACCGTGGGAGGTAGCTCACCGTGGTCTGCCAGTGCCACAGGTGCCAGGTGGTATTTCGGGTTAGTGCTACTGCAAGAGCGCGTGCGTGGACTGGCCGCGTTGCCGATTTGAGAGACTCATTGTCTTTTTCACCAGCCCAAAATCGACATTGGAGTTGGGGAGGCGGCCTCTTTGTGCCGTGATTGTTGGCTGGCGTCCAACGGCGTTGGAGCTTTGGGCACGAACATCCGCATGCGCCGGGCTGCTCCATAGGTTGCTCCACGGAGAGAGAAAAAAAAAAAGATCCATTGCAGCAGGCATTTGTAAGGCCAGCAGGACAGGGTTCTCGATATGGGGCCGGGCTCAACCGGACACTAAGGTGAGCACTCTGTGGAGAGGTTCATGGAGTTGATCATGATGCTAAGATGTCGGCCTGTAAAGGCTCATGGCGTCTGCTGTACCACCATTCGATACTTTGCGTCTGTTCACAGGGAAAAAGGGGTGTTTGGAAGGTAAGGAGGTTCGCAAACAGAAACAGAACATGGTACAAGAGTGAGGCAGGGAACCAGTGAACAGGGCGGCCATTCAGCGACGCCAAGAAGAGGGCGACGCGATGCGATGTGAGAAGGGGCGGGTAAAAGGCCAAGTTCGTTTCGGAAGATGGGACGTCTTGTTGGTACACCATCATAGCTTCCACTTTGGTGAATTGGCGGTTGACGATGCAATCCGTGTAATCGAGAGCGGTCTCTAGAGATGCTGCCGGGAAATATTCCACGTCTGCCGGCAATGATAGAACCATCGGGAAATCAATGAATCTGAGGCATCGGTAGGTTGTAGCAGCGGATGACAGTGACGGGGAGAAGCCAGAGACCGAGGGAGAAGAAGAAGCAGCAAATGGGACGGCGCCCGGAGCAAAGTGCGTTGCGTTGAATTGATTGGCAATAGATACCCTTGCCCCCACACACAATGGAGATGGAACCTGCGAGTCTCCCGGACCACGGCAACAGCCAAGCTGCATATCTGTGGCTAGTGTTCCTGCCGTTCTAACACCGTTTGGGACTGGTGTTGTTTCTGTAGACCGAGCAGCGGAGGAACTCTCGAGGAAGTTGAGGGAAAGAACACCAGACCTCAGTCACGATTCGTACTTTCCGGAGTACTCGTGCGGTGTACCTACTAAGGTACCTAGTAATAGAGGAGCGGAAGGTGGAGCTGTGTTGGGTAACGTTAGACCGAGATGAAAAGCCCGGGCCCTGCGAAATCTGAAATCTGAAGGAGACGCCGGCGGAGGGAGGGGGCAATTTTACCCTCTGTGCCTCTCTACCTCTCGCTATCTCATTTTGCTTCTCGCTGTTTTGTTATGAGACAGGAACCGCAAGGAATGCGACTGTAATAGCACTTGGCGCTGCGACCATCGCCTGGTCAATGGAATCTCGCGTGCGGCGTGCGGCGTGCCATGCCCGTCCTGTCGCGACTGACAGCAGCCGTTCCCATTACTTTCCTTAGTCAGGCAGCATCTCTCACTGAACTGTAATGAGAGACTCACCCAGCCAAAGGTTCGGCGGGAAGAATTATGTCGTTCCCGGTGAATCCTGGAGTGTGCATGTGTGGGTGAACACTCAGCCTAGCCCGTGGCATGGCATAAGCCGCGGTGGCACAGGCAAACTACCGGGCCAGGTCTGTATTAATTATGGAATGAAAGCGGAAAAGATGCGACGACGCGGATGAGGCCATCACGAGGGTCGCTGAAAGTTTCAGTCTCCAAAGTCTGAAGCGACAGGGACCAGGTGCCACTGACAGGGCAGCCCTATGCCTGCTTAACTACGCAGTACCTCCCTCATATGAGCATCCACCGTCGCGGCACTTGACAATTGACGATGTTATGATGAGATTGGGATCAAGTGTATCAGAAATTGCGCTGTGGGAAGTAGAAGAAGAATTAAACCACCACAGCTTCGCGGGATGGCGCTGTCTTAGCTTCTGCTCGAGAAGATGTACTCTAATTATCTGCACCTACAGCGAAGATACGTACACGTCCAATTCCCGCCATGCGCAACCTTGTAGCGTTCCTATCTTGATTAAGGCCATGTGCGGTACGTACCTCCCCGGCCAGTCGGTCGAGGACCCGCCCCTGCCGATAACAGCAAAGTCGCAGACTGTCTGTGCGAATTCGCTGACGCTCACGCACGCTCTCGGTGACGATGTTGCTTCTCAGTTCTGACCTCATCGCGAGAATTCCATCGTGATCCAACCCAAGTCCGCAACAGCAACCTCAATTGGACTTTTCTCGACGGAGATACGGCGGCTGCACTGGAGGATGTGCATATGTTCCTGGTTGGGTTTCCCCTCTCCCCCACTGTGACCCGACATTTGCGATGGGTGGACCCCAGCCACACGTCTGTCTCCGCCAGTACGTACCCGTCTTTGCAGGCCTTCCAGTTTGTGTGAGGGAAGAACGGGCCAAGCCCGGCGACTTGCGACTGCCATGTAAGTGGTACCCTTGTATTGTGCCCAATACGGACGCGCCGGTGCAATTGCTGCTGGGCGGACGTGGGCATCGTGTCCCTACCTTACCTAGTGGAAAGAGAAGGGAAAGCGAGGGCAAGGCCGTACGTGTGAGGTCGGGTAGGTAGGTACTAAGAGAGGGAAAAATGTGAGAGAGAGAGGGACCGGGAGAAAAAAAAAAGACGCGGTCGGCCGGACAGGTACCGCGCAATCAAACCATGCGTTGCCTGTCTTTCTGATGATCGCAAGAGGGAAGGTGCGGTTTCTGCTGTTCCACCAGCCACCCTTGCAACTGTCCACTGGCACCTGCACTCATACCTGGACTCCTCACACTTTTTTCCCGCTCCCCCCATTGAGCTTACCGCATTCAAGGTAAGTGCGACCAGAGAGACAAGCGTGGGAAAGAACCACTCACACACACACCCCGAGGTACCTGCCGCTCTTGTTGCTGTTGCTGTTGCTGCTGTTGCTGCTGTTGCTGCTGTTGCTGTACTCTTGCCTCATAATAAAACCACATCGTTGCCCGCGTCGCTCATCTGTGTTGACCTCACCTCTTCTCTTTTCCCCGTCCACACTCCGTCAAACATCACCAGCAAGCACATCCAGGCAAAACATCTTCACCTCGCCGACGATACTTTGGAACTGAATATCGCTTGATTGATTGTCAGACGTTCTCTCCCGTCTCCATTCAACAACTTCAACCAACCACAATTTCCACTACCTCTACACATCACCAACAGACAACATGCGTACTTCCCTCGCCATCGTGGCCCTCTCGGCCCTCACTGCCGTCTCTGCCCAGCGCAAGGTCTTCACCGCTGCCGACATCAACGTTGCTACTGTCTCCGTAAACCAGAGAGGTAAGTCAATTGGGAGAATCGTGCTATCATCTGTGGCAATCCGGCTTTGCCGCATGATTACAGCCACTGAGCATTGACTAATTCTTTTTTCCTTCCACAGCCAGCTGGTGTGTCGCCGAGCGCAACACTTGCAAGGTCCTTTGCGAGCCTAACCCCACCACCAACGACTGCGATTCTGTAAGTTCTCCTCTTTTTTTTCCTATGCTAGACCAGCAGCACTAGTTGCTTGTTGATCACCCCGGCCCGAATTCAAAGAGGCCGACGCTCGTGGGCAGCATGGCTGACTCTTACTCAATAGACCACCCTTGTCTACTCTTGCCTCTGCCCCAACGGCTCTGCCCCCGGCCTTGAGTACTACGAGCAGACCATGCCCACCTTCATCTGCGAGAAGGCCTTCGAGGACTGCATCACAGCCAACGTTGGTGACGCTCGCGGCCAGACCAACTGCACCGACACCATCAAGTCCCAGTGCGGTACCATTAACGCCCAGGCCGACCAGGCTTCTGGTGTTTCCACCACCACCACCGCCTCTGCTACCAGCTCTCCCACCGGAACTAATACCGCTGCCGCTACTACCGGTGCCTCCAGCTCCAGCTCTTCCGCCTGGGCTGTTCCTACTGCGAACCCCGCCCACGTCGGCAACGCTGCTGCTGTCGCTGCCATTGGTCTCCTCGCCTACATGCTTTAGATTGCTTCTGCGATCTACTAGGCTGTGGTAAACTGCGAGCCGCGATTCCTTCATGCGGCGACATGATTGACAATCACGGGCTTTGAGCGGTATTTCGCTTCTCTGTAATCACCTTCCCTACTACCCGGTCTGCGTGCTTACCACGCGGCTCCCTAATCTTTTTTGACGAGGAATACGTGGAATTATGCGATGGAGACGATGGATATTCCCACCCGTATGGCATTTTGAAGTTCTAGGAGGAGTCAGTGCGTTACAGGGACGGGTGATGTCACCCCATGTTGCTTTTGCTCTGCATTTCGCGTTTTAGGCATGATTGAAAGACAGTCCAGACGACGTCAAAAGAAATGAAGAATCGATTCCCCCCCATTCCCTGTCCCATCTGCTTTGAGCGTTGAAAATCGGCCTATTACCATCATGGCCGACAATGGGCTTGTGACAGTCTCCCATTGGCCTTCTTTGAGGTATGCCGCATCGTCCCAAGCTTGCGAATCTTCACTAACACATGCCTTTGTCAACGCCAATAGGGAAGGTCCTGAAAGCGGTCAAACATACCTTGTCCCGATTGTTTTATCAGCTTTCTGTTCGACGGAACTGCTAAAGACAATTCCTTTTGTCTCTATATCGGGATAGTTTCATAGTAATCACTGCTATTGAGGGAAACTACGATATATATTCCAACTCACTGCCGCCTGTATGATAGCAGTCCAGCTCTTCGCAACACATACCTACCTCAGACCATTCATTCGTCCCAATTTGCATCATTGACTGATCGCACCCACAAACACCATATTGTACATTTCACCAACTGACTTCACAATATACACCCAATCCACCATGACCGAACGCCAAACGCAAACCACACCTCCGCGAGTGTCATTTGGCGTAGAACTCGAATTCTTCGTTGCCTTCGTGCGCGAGGGGGAAAGAGACCCCGACTACGCCATCCGGCATGAGCTGCAGCCTCTTGTCGTAGTCCCCCCGGATGATGGGATCGATAAGCACGGCCTTCCGCATACGGCGTACGATTGGGACGAGGACTTTGTGTTCCACAGCATTGGTGACGCCTTGGCTAAAGCTGGGTTGCCGGTTTATGGCCAGGGTCAATGCGGTGTGCCCGGCTCTGTGCAGAGCACGCAGAGTAAAAAGGCCATTGACGCGTTCCAGCTAAAGACAGACATCTCTCTCAAGGCGGACCACGTCGACGGGTACCGCTGGCAGCGCGTCGAAATGACATCACCGGCTATGTACAACATGAATATGTCTTTTGACATGGTTCGTCTGGCGGTAAGTGTAATCACTACTAACTTCCGATGCCGAGTGAATCCTAGCTGTGGATTCCACGTTCATGTGGGTGTAGGACCGACGCAAAGAATCGACGCGAGAACCTTACGGCATTTCGCTGCCCTCTTATGGGCCGCCGACCCTCTTATCAGTCGACTTCATCCTCCTTGGCGCGCTACCCTCGCCTACAGCCAGTCTGCTCGAGTGAACGAAGCTACACCTCTGGGACAGGGCAAAGGCCCTGCAGGTGCGACTATTGACAAAAAAATTGCCCCACAGGATCTGAAGAAGATGAAAGTTCTGGGAAGAGACCGCTGGCTTGGCGATTCGGTTGAGGTGGACACGACCTCAGAGACGACGGACCGCGAGTTGAACTTAGATCAAGAAGACGATGAGGCCCTTCTGACAGGCCACGAACCATGGCAGTATCGACGGGCCATTCCCGAAGTCAGAGACCCAAAGAGCTCCGAAGCTCGCTCAACCTCGCCATTTGGATTTCCTCCACTTAGATACGAAGCTCCCGTGCCAATGCCGAAGAGCTACCGCAGCTCTGCAACCAAGGGCATAATCCCACCACGGCCTCGACCTCCCCCAATCAGGAGACGCTACGCTCGTGTCCCCGGAACGATGCGAAAAGACGTCCGCGGAGATCCCGACTTCTTGGACGGGTACATCCTAGGCCAAGGAGGAAGTATCGAATGCGTGGAAGTCAACCAGCCGGCTCGATGGGACGTCATGTCTGGCGTCAGGGATGTCCTCGGTGCCGACATGACAGTCGCACAGGTTGGGCAGTTGATGACGCCTGCCTTTCTCCCCAAGCACATCAACTACAAGTTCAAAGCCTATGATTTCTACTCTCTCGAACATCTCGCCCCGCAGGACGGGAACGGCACACGGACGACGTACCCCACGAAAGACCATACGATTGAGTTCCGCGAGGCGGCGGGCTCTCTGGACGTGGAGTGGATTGCGACCTGGGCTCGCATCTGCTGTCGCCTGCTCGAATGGAGCCGTGATGCCGAGCCGACGGAGTTTATGTGTGTGATGCGGCTGCTGGCGTGGGCCCAGGAAGAGGAGGGCGCTCAGTACGACGTGGTTGACTTGTTGATCGATCTGGGCCTGATCACGGAAGCGAGGTTCTGCGAGGACAGATTACAGCAGGGGGAGGCTGCGTGGTGGGAGTGCGCTAATCTTGGCGCTCTCGAAGGGTCTGAGAATGCTTTTGGAGACGGGATGGGATACCCGGTGCCTGGGTTCGACGACTTTGAGATGCCTGATGTAGAGAGTGGCGGTGGGCATCGATACCCTGGAGTTGCGTTCGGGGGCTGGGATGATGCTCAAGGTGGTGAGTATAGGGGCGGAGAGAGGTGGGATTCGTCGAGTGGCAGTGATGCTATTGAGCTCGAGTGCAAGGCACCTGAGGCTGGTGAGAAGACTAGGACGACCACACCCGACACATTTGCGAAGGCAGCCGCAGATGTGCCTACGGCCGGTAAGACAGACACGGAGAACACGTCAGAGGAGAAGGCAGGTGGTGATGTGGATGAGCAAGGTGAGTCGGCGGCGCGGGCGTCTCGTAGTTCGAGTACCAGCACAGCTCGCCCTAGAATTACGATTGAGTGAGAGGGGTGTGAGACTGATTGCAAGGTAGGTGTTGCCGATGTCTTTGATACGTCGTCGGAGTATGCTTGGGTTGAACATGATGAACACCCTCACGAGAAGAAGAGGGTTGAGACGGAGGATGGCTTTGAGATTGTGGCGTGGGAGGATTAAGGCATGACTACTTGGTGGGTAAGATATTGGGAATCGTTGAGTAGACAAGATATGGTTTCATCAGGATCAAATCTATTGAGTGTTTGAATATAATGAAAGACGACTTGGCCTGATGTCAGATTGTGTTGTTTGACTAATAAGGTGTGGCCGAGCTGGGGATGTTGCATCTAGTCTCGGCCCCTTCATACAGCATCCGGCTACACATTTTGTCTTTTCTCTTTTTGTAGAAGACGGGGGAATGGATGTAGCTGCGACAGGACGGAGGCACAAGAACGCCATTCACAGAATTTGATTCAGACTAGCCGAGATGGTGAATTTTGAATAGAAATCCCAAAGATGACTGGAAAACACCGCAGGAGCTGTATTTTCATTCATCCTTTCGAGAGACCATTTTTATACCATTCCCTCGAACCTTGGGCTTGAATCTCCTACCACCGTTTTGTCAGTGGGCTCGGTCGGGAACTTAACTCGTCTGGCTGAAAGGGTTGAAAACCCATAGATAGTCCTGTTCATGATCAAATGAGTTCTAGCAGTATAGTCATCAGGGGCCGAGGCAGAAGAAGTGGCTAGCAACTCTTCAAACACGTTGACTGAGTGCGACGTTGTCCTCTTAGAAACTTGCTCACGATCTAGAAACGTCGCTATTGATTAGGACATCATCTGTAAGCTCCCCAGCGATTTGGGCCGATGCTAAATCAAGGCCAGATAGTTTTCAGCCGCTGAGAAATCACCCGTAGAATCTAGAACATTTTGATCTCGTATCTACTACAATGTTCCAGGTCTCAAGGACTGGCGGCCCTCGTACGACAAGGGCATTGTTCGCAGCCTGGGACCCAGAGTACAGGACCAGGATCGTTGTTGAGAACTTGAACGAAGACAAAGGAAAACAGACTGCGGCCCAAGGCCCGTCCCGCAATACGATGTCGATTTATCTATTAAAAAGACATCTTCAGCCTGCTATCCTTGCAGTCCCCAAGTTCTCGGTACTCAGTTACAGCCATTATTCGAAAAGTTCCTTGGCGGCGGAACATTAACAGGTATCATATAAGGAATCTCCATCCGTACAAAACTCCTCCAACACGGAACTCCCTCATCCTCCTACTCCCGCGACCATGGGTCTTCAACAAGTGCAACACCAAAGTTCTCTGACGATCCTCGACCGTCTCGCAACCCTACCGCTCGAACTCCAAAAGCACATCCTCTACGACTACCTCACGGTAAGTAGCAGCCCCTGCATCTTATCCCTCTTCGTCCCCGACTGGTCCGTCTGCGCCCGCGCCTCGGATCCCGTCAACGAGATTTACGACCTCCAGCGGATCGACGTCTACACCAAGGGCGCGAGCGTGTCCGGCGGCGGCAGCGTTCGAGGTAAGTACGAGTCCGGGGTGCGGCACGGGGATGGCGACCACGCTTCCTTTCCGTTGATGAGGCAGGTAGACGGTTCGCACGAGCAGCAGCACGGCGCACTGCTGCTGAAAAAGGAGCTGGGCAGGAGATTCCCGGCCGCGATGGACTGGGCTCTGCGCGACCTCGGGCGGAACGGGCTGAGAGTGTTTGAGCAGGTTTGGCCCAGGGGGCACGACGATGGAGTAGCCAGGTGCATGGCTTCCGGGGCGCTCGTCTTTCGTGAAGCTGGATGCGGTCACGGACTGGATTCCGATCATTCTCATCCAGGAGGAGCAGCAACATCAGACATGTTGCTGTCGTTGCCTCGCCACCTAATGTTCAATAGCGTCCCCTCCGATCCCTGGCTCCAGCTCCGGCTGCGCCGCAACGCCGTGACCGACTTCCGGTGCGAGATGGCGTTCGTCGTCAAAGGGGGCTTGTTCGGCGAGGAGTTTGTTGCGGTGGACTGGGCTGCCATGACGCAGCTCGAGACACTGTTTTTGGATTTGCGGACGTATGCGAGCGGTAGTGGTGGTGGGTTCCTCCATGACGCGATTCGGCGCGCCGCGGTGAAGATGGGGTGTCTTCGGCTTCGATGTCTTGCCATCGCGGGGTTGAGGACCGGGGAGAGGTACGGTAGGTCGCGGGTTTGCGAGTGGGAGGCGAACGGGCAACAGGAGGATCAGGTTGACGGGGAGGTGAACTGGGTCAAGGTCTTCGCGCCGGCGTTGGGGGAGGGCGGGAGGCTGGTGTTTATTGATCGGAGGGTTGTGGATGTTGATTGGGATGCGTGGAGGATTCGGGCTGAGGGGGAAGGGTTGTTGGCTTGTCAGAGGGAGTGGGAGGAAGGTGAAGATGGGGGTTGTGGTACTGGGGCGTATTTGAAGCATTTGGACAGAGTGATGGGTGACCGGTGAGTAAGTCTCTTCTTTTTTTCTGAAAGATGGTCACGTTACATGACAGCCCATAGGCAGCGAAAGTTTTGAAGTCGTTGGTGATGTCCTTTTCTCGCCCTTGTCCCCCCTGAAGGCCACCATCCGCAAAGCCAACCCCCGCTTGCTGAACATCGCACCATATAATAGATGAATTACACTCCGCATTTTGCTTTATTGCTGCGTGATATCATAACCATCCTTTCTATCTATATCACGTCCCCCATACACCACGACGTGTGGTGGCTTTTTCGTCTGGCTGCATAAGACTACTTGGCTATACCGTAGTGTAGTACGCCTCACTGTGAGTCACCGTCTGTTGCGGCAGGTTTCTGACGGAAACCATCAGGTCTCTCTCTAATGAGAACCAAGCGCCGTCCAGCTGAAACATTCCTGTTCATAGAAGGCGGCGCAAATGTTGCATCCTTGCCGGGTTGACGGTTCCCTCGAGCCCGTTTGAATGGCTCATCAACAGGAGCCGAGACTGTGATTCTAAGAACCACCTTCCCAGCGAAAACGAGCTCTTCCGTTGCCTCTTCCCCGAATGATGTTCGTCGTTATCTACAAAGTCAGTGCTGACGTCAAGCCCAAGATGAAGGGGAACTTACAAATGAGTCAATCTGTAACAGATATCGGTGATTGCAAGCCTGCGGGTTAAGCCGGCCCCAGGCTCGACATGCTTAGATCTCTCCGCCATCATTACTACGGCGAAGTTGGACTTCAAATCGTCTCAAACCTCCTCCCCCTCCCCCTCCTCCACCAAAACCCTCATCCTCTCCGCCTCCTCCTCGGAATCCCCCGCAGGCGGCTTCGTCGGCTTCAGCCCCTCCATCTGCAGATACCGCACCAGCGTCTTGGTCGCGCACGTCACGCCCGCGTCGCGCTTCAGCTCGGCGTACGAGCAGGCCGGCTTCTCCTGCAGCACGCGCAGCAGCGTCTTGACGTCCCGGTCGGACAGGATACGGGGGCGGCCCGGACGGGGCCGGTCGCGGCCCGCCTGCTGGAGGCGGTAGCGCGTGACGATGCCCTTGATGGAGGAGACGGGGACCTCCTCCTTGATGGAGATTTCTTTGAGGGACATGCCGAGCTCCGAGAGGACGGCGATGCGGGCGCGCTTTTCGGGGGAGTATTGCGGTTTGCGGGGCTTTGGTTCTGGGGCGGCGCGGCGAGGCATTGTGTGTGAGGGGTGTATGTGTTTGTTGAGAGAAAAGTGAAGTGATGTGAAGGATTAGAAGACGGATGGGATGATTGCAAAGGCTGTCGCTGAAGATCGGATGAGTTGAGGTGGGAATTAAAGGGGGAGATTATTACGTTGTGAGATGAGGCTGGAGGATGAGAAGGAGGATGAGATGTAGACGATAGCGGCGCATGTCGAAATTTTCGTTTTTTATTTTTTCTTTTGGTGAACCCCGGTGGCTGGGCCCACTTTCTCGGGGTGGATCAGGGGTGCTGCGTTCGGGGTAGTGGATACCTCAGGTACCTCAAACGAGGCGGGGGCCAGGGCCACCTCAGGTCTGGACAACGTACGGCTAGTGGGGGGTTTAGCTGATAGCTGGAGGTCAGCGTTTTTATCACCGTATCGTCGAGATTTGATCACAATTCATTACACTCTAGGTAATGGAGCGATTGCTCTAGCATCTAGGTTCTCTTCTCGGTCTCGAGGGTTCCAAAGTACCTGGTATTCCGTATCACCTGCAAGAGAAGGCACCCAAGGTGCCAAGCTCAGGTCCCGGACAAGAACAGCTCGGAACAGCTCAGTGTGCTTAGGTAAGCTTGTTCTCGACCAATAGATGGAAGTCTGCCTTCCGAACATGCAACGTGAAGGCTAGGTACCTTGCCGCCAAAATCTCACAAAGTCGTCGAAGGGTGGCTTTCCTCCATTATCGTGATCAGTCTCCAACGTCTCCTTCCTTCTGTTTGTGTTTTTGTTTCTTTTCTCGGGGACAGAGCGTCAGAAGAAATAGCAAGTCTGACAAGAAGAAAATATGACCCCATCACGGACCGCCGATGATGCTTTCTGACAATCAGCACCAGCCACATGCACTGAGCCACGTTAGAGTATCTTGCTCCTCTGGCCGTTACCTCTCGATTTTCAGCCAGATCCAATCCCGAGCAACGGGATAGTGACATTTTCACATGATCTAGCCGTAGGAAGGAATCCTCTTCTGGCGAAAGACACCTCGGCACATATGAAAAAGTGGTCCGCCGGCATCACTTACACGGGGTACAGGGATGTTGCATCATTCCACGATCCCTTCCATGGGCTTGGGTGATGGTATCAAACAAAAGATGATCCCCGTGTATCAAGGCGACGAGGGATGAGGCATATGGCATATGAATGAGTTGTAACATAATACTGGTACTTAGGTACACTGGGCACGACCAGATATCCCTCGACCTTTGATGAGACGTGAAGCGTAACTCATAATCCCTCGGAGTCTGCTCCGGCTTCCATGCAACAGTCATTGCCTCCTTCGTAAGGTATACCACCCAGCAACACTCAGAAACCCTTCAACCTCAAATCTTCTCCTCAGTCTTCTTCTTCGCAGCCTGCTCCGCCATAAACTTTTCATAATCCGCCTGCCTCTCGGGCGAAACCTTCATAAACGGGATATCGTCCTCCATCACCTTGCCCGCAACCCTCACCGGCTCCGCAGGCTGCAGACAGAAAATCACCCGCGCCCACTGATCCGTCGCATTCTTCCACCCGTGCATCGTGCCCCGCTGAATCATAATCTCCCCTTCCTTCAGCGTCCGCTTCGCCCCGTCGTCCAGGTAGCACTCCACCTCGCCCTTGAGCACGATGCCGTAGTCGCACGACTCGGTGCGGTGCATCATCGGCCCCGTCTGCGGACCGAAATCGACCACCCGCAGGACGGAACCCGAGGGGAGGTGCAGGGACGGCATGCGCGGGTGGTTGGGCGCGTAGGCTGCCAGGTCCTTCTCGTCGTCCATTGTGACGGGTGACTCGGAGGTTGTGTAGCAGGTGTGGAAGTACATGTTCTTCAGCGGGTCCGGCGTGACTTGTACGGGGAACGCGTCGGAGAAGACGGCGCGGCCGTTGGCGTCGTGGGTTGTGATGTGCCGGGATACGGGGCCGAAGGGGCAGTCTTCGGATGCGGAGGCGGCGGGGGGAGCTCCGGACGACGACATCTTTGCTTAGGCGTTGCGAAGTATGTGCGATGAAAGTGTGAACAGACGGTTGAGGTATCAAGGTTCGATTACGGGTCTGATAAGCTTGACAGATGATGAGGGGGCGAGCAACGAAGTATAGTATAGCTAGCTGGTGGGAGTTTGTAGTTGACTACTTTGCTGTGTCTTCTTTTAAAGGCCTCTCGTCTTTTCTTCTTCGTCGACCGAGACAAATGTGGGCGGGGAGTCGTCCGATGGATTGTATCTTCTGTCAAAGCACAATTCGTTCTTTGAAAGATGCGATTGGGAGGGTAAGAAGAGGGGATGAAAGGTCCCTTTAAGAAGGTGTGCTGTCACTGCCGTTGGCCTTGGCGCACAGACTTGGGGGTGTCTCACGGCTCGCCGAGGGAAGAGATGAAAAAGCCACTTGCTAGTAGGAAAAAGTACCTAGCCAGCTGGCATTGCCTTAGGAAAGACAGTGCTGTCCCTCACCTGACGTAGGAAGCGGCAATCCTGCCAGCCAGCCTGCATGTTTCCACCTGCCTTGCTGCGTTCTAAGGTTTGGTGAGAATTAAACGCGGCATTCGGTGTGGGGTGACAGTGCCACCCCAGCCGGGCGCGGCTGCATCGACTATGCGCAGTCCTCGTCCTGGCTTGAACCCAAGTGGTCGAGAGTTGGTGACGGAGGCACGGTGGTTGGGAAATCCTTCCAAAAAAAAGGTTCGTCTGGCAGTGCCGACGCGGAAACGCCACTTCTGCTGCATGAGCAATGTCTTACGTCCGTACGAGTAAAAGGCAGTCCTGCGAGTCCCATCCTCCGAACCATGCAGACAGATAGGCGCAGAATTCGCTCCGAAGTGCGGCAAAAAGTACTGCCACGATAGGTAGGCTGGTGTCTATCGGTCTCAACAAACACGGGTAAGCGACAAGGATGAGCTCGCCAGTGAAGAGGGGGAGCTCGTACTGAAACGAAGCTTGGCTTGCGATTGCTCACTGCATTCATCTGACTCGGCACCGTGACGAGGATCACTAAGCACTGTCGTTGCAAGCCTCAGGAGCTGACCGCTTGCATTGACTGACTTTGTGGATCGATTCTGGGGGCATTTGTTGAAGATAGTGCTCAATTGAGTTTGAATTTATATTGCCTATGCTTGGCGTCGAGTGAGCATGGAAACCCCGCGGTATCCGGCCGATTGCGGATTGCCAGAGAAACACTGTCCGCTCAACGGTCACTAGCCTCGCCGGACTTGCGGCATTCTCTGCATCAAGTCGAAATAGTGTACTGTGTATGGCTTTGAGCTGAGAGACCTTGATGGCGAAAATCCCCTCTCATGTAAACATCAAATCGTACCTCGCAATCGCTCAAGGCCCGAGGTTGGCGGGCATTTCGTATTCTAATACATGCAACTTGCGGCTTCAACTCGCGCTGGCGTTTCGGGTCCTGCGGTCACACGCACGCCGGTCCGACGTTGATCTGAAAGACGGGGAGGTGTCCGCTTTGGCGCCCCGTGTTCCAGAAAAAGTCTTCGCAACGGCTCCGCGACAAGCGGGGATGTCGGACTCGGGACCAACTCCGGCAAGCCCGAATGTATGCATGCGTGTATGCACCACCTGGCGTAGGCCAAGGTGAGCGTTCTCAATCTTGATGAATCAACTTCCGGGAATTCCCCGAATGTCCCAAACCTATCATTGTCGTTGGAACGGGGACGTTGGCCGCCGGGAAGATCATAGGAGATCGGAACGTTGACTTTGAACAGTCTGGCAGCGATAGACCGCGGCACCGACGTCTCAGTCGGCGGTTAGGGATCGCCAGGGGACGAACATGTGTATCTTCGCTGTCGGGGGAATCGACCGTCGGGGAGAGCAGCTGTAATCGGGTAGTCGACTTTGACGAGTCTCGTCGTGGAAGACCGCGATGTGGACTTGACAGTCAAGGAATCGCGATCACCGCAAGATCGTCGGTCCACAACTATGGCGAGCACTATCAAAGACCGTCGGGGAAACTGGCCGCCGGGGAGCAATCTCCCCATGAGTGATAGAACTGCATTTGTGGAGAGGCGGCTACGAGCTTGCTGACCTTTATTCCAAGTCTCAATGGCGACATTTGCTAGGTTTATCGTGTTGTGCGAAGTCAAAAGAAGCTCCTACCTAGAAGCTTGCCGTGGATCGGAGAAATGTGGGACGAAGTTGACCAGTGTCGATAGACAGGACAGCAAGGTGAGAAAAGTCTAGCGCGGACTGTACCGCCGGGAAGAGAATGAAAGATTCATTTCACATCCTCATCTTCTGAGGAGGTACACGGGGAGCTGCCGTCAGGCTGGCCCGGAATTTGCAGAGGCAATAGGATCAGTGAGAGGAAGCTTCGGTAAAGGCGGCTCTTGTCTGTCAAGATGCGTCTCAAAGACCGCTTAAGCCAATAGAAGGCCAGTGGCGATCGTCGTTCCAAAGATCAGTACGATGTTGTTGGTCAGATCAGATCGGACAACGTGGAAATTCGACGCTACCACACCCTGAACATCAGACGAGATATGTTTGGTGCAGTGACGGTGGAGACTTGTAGCTGAACGACAAGGGACTGCCTTGGCTGCCTCGGCAGACGTCCCCGTCTACACCGTAACATATCTCGCGCTGAGACGTAGCTCACGGGGCTAGCAATTGAAATCGAAATGGTTTCGCAAGCTAAGAGAACCGGGGAGAATCCGTCGGCTTTGCGCCCCCGAGAACGAAGAGAAAGTATGGACCCAACAATCAAGGATCGGAGTTGACTCCGATTGCCATGTAAATGATGCCATTCAGGGCTGTGACTGACCGACCTCCTGCTGCCGGTACCTCCCCGACCGCAGACTGACGCGCCGAAGGTAAACTGGCTTTGCCTTTAATCACTTGTCGTGTTGGCAACCTTTTGTGACCACCATTCCTGCCAGTCGACCACCTTCTTCCCTGTCCGCGCTTCCTCTGCCGCGAATACCATCGCATGGGAGCGAATTACCTCCTCAAGGGAGCAGCCGATGAATTCATTCTGCGCTTTCTCCGGCGTCCAGCCGTGGTTCTTGACTTTGTCCACCGCCAGTATGAACTGACGCGCGAGACCTTTGTCCCCACCACCGTGGCCGGCGTCTTCGAGGGTTGGGTGAAATGACTGGGTGGCACCCGTGTTAAAGTCCTCGATGGTGATTGTACGGGCGTCGGCATAAATCTCGCCATCGATGCCATAAATATGGGTGTACCTCTCGCAAATCTTTTTCGTTTGTGCGACCATGTGCAGAGTTGCTGATTTGGATTGTTTGGTTGACTCTGGCGTACCGTCCGTGGCATCGTCCCAGGTGATGGTGACAGTCTGGTCATCACAGACATTGTTGTCCGCGTCGAAGACACACCGACCGAACCAGTTTCGCGAAGCGACGACGTCTTTGGGGGTGGAATCATCATAATCTTCCGCAAGCTTTGATGCCAGGACTTTGTTTCGCTCAGATATCGGGAAGTCTTCAATCTCCGGCATCACAATGCTGACTGGCCAATCGGTGTTGCCAGAAGCGAGACCTTTCAGATTCTGGCCGAGATAGATATTCTTGGCCGAGAATTTGCAGCCCGAATCACCTAGAGGACACGACATACAATTTGTTGCATTTCCAGCGGCGGCGGGCTTGCGACCTTTCCTGAAGAGGTGGAGCGAACCACTTGACGAGACAGTGGACGGGAGATGAGGAGTGCCTGTTCCAGCCTTTACTGGTGCGCTCAGAAGCCAGAGGAGGAGATCAATGTCGTGGCAGCTCTTTGTCAATAGACTTGGTGCCGTAGTCTTTTCGTTCCGCCAGTTGCCACGCACATACGAGTGGGTAAAATGCCACCAACCGACTGGCTCGGTGTGCACAATCTTGAGGATATCGCCAATGACACGGTCTTCGAGCAACAATTTGCGAAGCAGCATATTGTGTGGGCTGTAACGGAGTACATGGCCGATAGAGAAGACGTTCTTGGGCTCCTGACCAGCAGGAGGCTTCATAGCCTGATACATGTCGAGACAATCGGTAAGAGATGTGGCGAGGGGTTTCTCGCACATGACGTGCAGTCCCAGGGGAGCAAGACCGACGAGGACGTCGCGGTGCATTTCGTCAAGAACACAAATGAAGGCGGCATCAACGCCAGGCGGCACATCTTCGCCGGCAGCTTCTCTTTCGCGGCGTCGTTGTTCGTATGTTACAAACTCGGTCCAGTCGGCAAACTGTTGCCCTTCTTGGGGAGTGCTGGAGCCCCAAATGAACGTTCGACCGAAGCTTTGACGCTTGTAGGTGATGGGTTCAGCGACGGCAGCGACGATACCGTTGCAAGAGGTCTCGTTAGCATGAGCATATGCTTGTCCGCGAGAGCCAGCGCCGATGACGAGAATGCGAGGTGGCGAAGCAGATATGGGAGGTTTCTGAGGTGGCACTGGAGTTGCATCTGGAGGGACCGCGACGGGCGAACCCGACTTCTTGACGGACGACATGTCGTGGTCGTTATCGTTGAAGTGTGATCTGTCGGTTACAGGAGAACCCTGTGATGAAGGTTTTCTTTCTTTTTTGACGAGTTTATATTCTCTGAGAACCTCGGAAAACACGCTGTCTCTTGGGAAATAGGGTATGAGGGATGTTATCAATGAACAAAAGTCAGTCAGATGAAAGAAGGAGGTTCATGTTACTTGGAGTATTGGCTCCAACAAGGAAGGTGGGGTCCGCGTAGAAGGGCAGGTCCAATGAATGATGGTCGATTTGAATCGTGGTCTGGGGTACTTGCCTTGGTTCTTGGCAATCTCCTTATCTTATCAGCGGCTGTCGGTTGAATTTCCTCCTCTGCCGGTGTGGGGCATGTTTCTCTACGGGCAGTTCTGGCGGTGAGACGTCCCTGCTCAGGCAATTGGGGTGGGCAGCAATAATAGAAATCTTGATATGCCAGGTATGGGTACCTTACTGATGCATCCTGTATTCCCAGGATCTACCTACCTTGATCGTCTTCAAAACTACATATGGAATTATACGTTGACAGAAAACATGCCTGGAGAAGTTCCCACCAGCCATAGCAATAGCAGTGAGTACCTACTATGTAGTTAGTGGCCATGGAAATAAAGGAAGCATTGCGAACGCCCGGCCGGCACTGCTAGGATCGCATAGTACTCCGTGCATCTTGTTCCTCCTTACATGCAATAATTGGAGGCCACAGCTGGGATGCTGCAGCTTGCACCCCACCTTGGACTCCAGCTCTGGTGAAGTTGTGGCTCAGCCAAGCTTAGCACGCCGAAAAGAAGATCCTGCTGTTGACGGAGTGCAACCCAAGTTGACAAGAATTAGAATCAATATCAACATCTTTCACGCCTGAACCATGGATCTTCTCAACTCCCTCAAACTCAAAGCTCCCGCCCCGAAGATGCAGTCTGCACCTGACGGCCCCTTGGTCTGGGTTGACTGCGAGGTATGCACTCCAGGCTTAGGCATGCCACTCTTGACCCAAGACTGACTAACACCCCCCCAGATGACTGGGCTGGATCCGGACAAGGAGGAAATTATCGAGATTTTCTGCATCATCACCACCGGGAACCTGCAAGTCATTGACCCCGAGGGCTGGGGCTGCGTGGTGCACCAGACGGAGCAACGCATGGCGCAGATGGACGACTGGTGCACCAAGACACACGGCGACAGCGGGCTCACAGCGGCGGTCATGAAGTCGACGACGACACCCGAGCAGGCTGCCGACGACTTGCTCGCTTACATCAAGAAGCACATCCCGCAGAAGAAGACGGCGCTGCTTGCGGGCAACAGTGTACACGCAGACCGATCGTTCCTCAACAAGCCGCCCTACCGCAAGGTGGTTGACCATTTACACCATCGCATTCTCGATGTCAGCTCGCTCAAGGAGGCGGCGAGACGTTGGTGCCCGCCGCAGGTCGTGGACGGTGCCCCGGCCAAGCAGGGACTTCACCAAGCCAAGGAGGATATCCTCGAGAGTATTGCTGAGGCCAAGTACTACAGAGAAGCCATTTTTGGCCGGACGTGGAGAGGACAGGCCAGCGCGCAGGACACGCCGGTCAGTGAACGGGATGAGGACGATGCCTGGGCGGACAACCTGCTGTAGATTATGATATCTCTGAAGTTGAACCTGGCCTTTCTTGACCTGATGAGGCACTGGGATGTGTGAGATATCTCGAGGTGCCTCACCTGCCTTACCTAAGATTGCCTGGTAGCTACCTAATGTAAATAGTTGAATCGATAGTTGGCCGCAAGGGTAGCGGGGTCGTTCGAAGACAGTACGCAAGATCCTACGCACTGCTGGGTGCTGGTCAATCAGGCACCTCAAAACCGTGCGAATTAACAGCCACACCTATTAGCACCTCACGATGATTCGCCGGGAAGATCCCCTGTGTTGGCCCCCTGGAAGTGAGGGGCTCCCAGAGCTGCCCCTCCTTCATTGTGCGGTGACCCCGCCCACGTCGAGGCTCAGGATGATATCACTGGCCAAGCAAACCCCCACCATTGAGGTGGTGGCCACAGCTTTGGCGGAATGAAAGGTACCTTCACCAATGTGTACGTCGTTGGAGGTGGAGGGGCGCTATTCACTAAAAAAAGGTGCAATCTGAGCCTATCGTGTGCCATCTCCCATTCACTGAGGTGTCCCAATGCGTCGTATTCTGCCCACATTAGCTAGCTACCTACGGTATTTCCAGTGGCCTACGGATACCTTAGTCTCTCACCGCACCAAGTTCCCATTGAAAGCTTCCCAGGCCCCTTGCCCAACGCCCACCACGCCCCGGTCCCACCTCCCGTACCTACGCCAACGCCGGTTCGCATGAGAGACGGAAGAGAGAGCCCAGCCAAAGGCGAGACAGAGACACTAATAATTGCAGCTCCATTCCCAACATTCTCCTTTTCCTCTCCTACAACCTAGACAACTCTCCCCCTCAATACCATCACTACTCGAACTATACAGCATCATGGACGTCCAGACTGTCGAGTTCAAGCCTTTCCAGGACCAGAAGCCCGGCACGTACGTCATTTCTCCCCTAACAAAATAAACCCCTCGCTGTTGTCGTCCCCAATCATGTCGAGTCCAACTTTTTGTTGCTACCCCGCCATAGCTGCCAATCGCGCGATGCACCCTCTCTCAGCACCCCAAAGACTGACTAGCCATTCTACAGTTCTGGTCTTCGCAAGAAGGTCACCGTCTTCCAGCAGGCTCACTACAGCGAGGCCTTTGTCACAAGCATTCTCCTGTCCATTCCCGAGGGCGTCGAGGGTAAATAGCAGTCCATCTCAGCTTCCATCCTTGGCAGCCGTCCCAAGAAACTGACAGACCGCCTCTATAGGTTCTTTCCTCGTCATCGGTGGTGATGGTCGTTTCTGGAACCCCGAGGTCGTCCAATTGATTGCCAAGATTGGTGCCGCCTACGGTGTCAAGAAGCTCCTCATCGGCCAAGACGGCATTCTGTCTACTCCCGCTGCCAGCCATGTCATCCGCAAGCGCAAGGCCACTGGTGGTATTCTCCTGACTGCCAGCCACAACCCCGGCGGTAAGATCTCTACACATACCCTGAAAATAATATTCGTCAGCTAAACGATGAACTCATTTCAGGCCCCAAGAACGACTTCGGTATCAAGTACAACCTTGCCAACGGTGGCCCCGCCCCCGAGTCCGTCACCAACAAGATCTACGAGGCCTCCAAGACCCTCACCTCCTACAAGATCGCAAACATCCCCGATGTCGACATCTCCACCATCGGCACCAAGACCTACGGCTCTCTCGAGGTCGAGGTTGTCGACAGCACTGTCGACTACATCGAGATGCTCAAGGACATCTTCGACTTCGATCTCATCAAGAAGTTCTTCCAGTCCAACCCCGACTTCAAGGTCCTCTTTGACGGCCTCCACGGCGTCACTGGTCCTTACGGAACCGCCATCTTCGAGAAGGAGCTCGGCCTCAAGGGCGCTACCCAGAACTGCGTTCCCAGCCCCGACTTCAACGGCGGCCACCCCGACCCCAACCTGACCTACGCCCACTCCCTCGTCGAGGTCGTTGACAAGAACAACATCCCCTTCGGTGCTGCCTCCGACGGTGATGGTGACCGCAACATGATCTATGGCGCCAACGCCTTCGTCTCCCCCGGTGACTCCCTGGCCATCATCGCTCACCACGCCAACCTCATCCCCTACTTCAAGAAGCAGGGTGTTTACGGCCTGGCCCGCTCCATGCCTACTTCCGGTGCCGTCGACCTGGTTGCCAAGAAGCAGGGCCTGAACTGCTACGAGGTCCCCACCGGCTGGAAGTTCTTCTGCGCCCTCTTCGATGCCGACAAGCTCTCCATCTGCGGTGAGGAGTCCTTCGGCACTGGCAGCAACCACATCCGTGAGAAGGATGGTCTCTGGGCTGTCGTCGCCTGGTTGAACATCATCGCCGGTATCGGCGAGCAGAACCCTGGCGTCACTCCCTCTATCAAGAAGATCCAGCAGGACTTCTGGACTGAGTACGGCCGTACCTTCTTCACCCGTTACGACTACGAGGATGTCGACAGCGAGGGCGCCAACAAGGTTGTTGGTGTTCTCAAGGACCTCGTCGCCGACTCCAACTTCATCGGCAGCAAGGTTGGAGGTAAGTCTACATACAAAATGCCCATCAGAACCCTTGAGAATGGAATGAGACTAACTTTGACAGACCGCACCGTCACCGGCGCTGGCAACTTCTCCTACACCGACCTCGACGGCTCTGTCTCCTCCAACCAGGGTCTGTACGCCACCTTCTCCTCAGGCAGCCGCATCATTGTCCGTCTCTCCGGCACTGGCTCGTCCGGCGCCACTATCCGTCTCTACCTCGAGCAGCACAGCTCCGACCCCAAGACGTACGACCTGGATGCCCAGGACTTCCTCAAGCCCGAGATCCAGATGGCCACTGAGCTTCTCAAGTTCAAGGAGTTCATTGGCCGTGACGAGCCCGATGTCAAGACCTAAGTGCATTGTTGCATGATTGGGTTGCACTTGGACAAAGGGGGGATAAGGAGGGGAGTTTTTCAAAAACAAAAAGTAACGCTTCAGTATAGAGAAGTAGAAGAAAGGCCAGCACCAAGGTTGCTGTGGACGATGTCATGATGGTACACGATTTGCATAAATTGAATCAATTGACCTAATCACACAATAGTCTTTTGCTTGACGGCGCCCTCCCTGACCCCTTCTCTGGGATCTTTTCAACTCGTGAATGTTCTGTGTTGCGTAATCATCAATCTCAATCATAAAGGTCGTCAAGTCATGAAACAAAGAGAAGAGGAATTAAGAAACGCAATGGAACGCATACGAAACTGGGCAGGAAAAGTACCCCTCAGAGCAATCTTCCGGGGTATTTCCTCCGAGATACAAAACATCCGCTCGCTTATCCCCTGCGATACAATGAAGCTGCGTTCGACCATTGTCCAGGCTGAAAAGGGAAGAAAAACAGACTGCCGTAGAAAAATCGTGGAAGGAATTAGAGATGCGCGTGTCGAAGCTCGTTAGAGCGGTTCTTCCTTGGGAAGACGTGGAGGAGAGAGGGTCTGGGCAAGTAAGGTACCGGACTGAGAGTAGGTGGATGTCTGCTCACCTACTCTTCAAGTCCCGCAAATCTGTCGAGGTATGTGCCCCGCAAAACGGCGAGTGGCAGCGTCCTGGGGGTGGAAGGTGTCGGTGAAGGGGGGCACCATGTTGGTCCGGAGTCGGAGTGGGTATACATATATATACCCTTGCGTTGAGGAAGCTTATCATCGGTTACGAGTTATCTGGCGTCCTCAATGGCTTCCATGGTGTCTGTAGATGCCTCGGAGGGATCCGACTGCGACTGTACTGCCTCAATGAACCGCTTCGCACCCATCTCGGAGACAAAGTCGATCTCAAAGGCGCCGGCAGAGGATCCTTTCCTCTGATTCTGTTGATGGTATTGGTCGCAAAAGACATAAAGCTGAACGTCTTTAAGCCAGATGCGGTGATCTGATTTGCGTACGAGCCAGGTCGGAGAGGCGGATTGGTGTGTGACTGAGATTATCGTGTTTTGTTAGTCCCAAGCCGGAAGAAGGGAAAAAAAGGGGAAAAACGGAACGTGAATGCGAACAAGGGTAAGGATGAAAGATGGTGTAGGAGGATCGTACCGAAAGCGGTCCAAACTGGACAATTCTTGAGTTCACCATCCCACACCGAAGCTTGGAGACGAAGACCTTGGGTGACGAGGTCGCGGAAGACAATGAGAGAATGCTTGAAGCCATCATCAAGGATTTGGCTGCGGTGAGAAGTGTTAGCTATGGTGTCATGGCTGTAGGTGCAACACTGGGTGGACCACGCACGCCTGGAACAGTCGGTCTTCACTACCGAGCTTGAACTCCCTTGGGCTCATTCTGCTCGTCAAAATATTTCGAGCCTTGAGAGAGACGAATGTGCAGTGAAACAGGACCAATTCTGGCAATTGTCAGTGGAAGGTCAAAAACGACAAGTCGGTCGAGGATGAACAGACCCTCCCAGGTTTTGAAGTAGAGAGATGCCCATAGTTTGACGCCCATCTGAGAATGACTGTACCGGTCCAGTAGCAAGGCGCTGCCCTCACGCCTTATGAAGATTTCGTGGGTACCGAGTAGTGAGAACCACTGGCCCCCCAAATGATATGTCCGGAGGAGAAAGTAGGGGGTCTGGTTAACATGATTCAGATAGGTCATCAACGCAAGGCGATCCTCGTCGAATGGTCTTCGTTTCTGGCGTTAGCAAAACTTTGTCCAGTCATGAGTCACGAGCAAATGTACCTTCTGAACAGCATCTTGACCTGTTTGGGAATATTCAGTTGTCCCCACGTTAAGAAAGGACCATAAGCTGTCGATGGTCTGATGTGCTTCAAAGCCGTTCGGGAGGTGAGCGGAAGGGAGAAGATCTGCTCCGCCCAGTGTAATGTCTTGGGAGAGAGGGTTCATCAGCTAAGCGGGCCTTTCCTGTGGCAACAGCACGTACCGGATCCTGAGGTATTGGTCTGAGCATAACCTCTGGTCGAAGGACAGGCCCCATTTGGGTTGTTGGCGTAGCTTCATAGTATGTGTCAGTCAACCTGCTGCTACTTTGCCTCTGAATGAACATACGGAGTCCTATTGCTTCTCTCAACTTGATTATCCTAGTCCGAAGCGTCTCTAGGCCATTTAGGTCAAAGAGTGTCGACCTATGTGGCTGTTAGTACGTCATCTCCAGGACCGAAGGAGAGTTGCTGGCGCGCCTCATGAGAAGGTGTTGGAGAGACTCTAAAAAGCAGTTGTAAAGCGTGAACCGCTGAGGTAGTGGTATGCCATTGGCCTCCTGTGTCATCTTGTGGTACATCCTTCGCCATCGCATATCCTTGCTCACGGTCCGATCTTCGTAAAAGTCGGTCATGTCGCGAAGTGTCTTGGAATAACATGGAAGTATGACGTCGAGGTAGTTGAGCAAAATTGGTACCCTGGTGAAATGCATCTGCGATCGATCCGCCAAGTCTCTCAGCTTCCTTGCAGACCTCCGTATCTCGTCAACAAGACTGGTGATGGTGCCCCCATAAGCCTCAGGAAGAGCCATGCGGAGCCCTTCAAGGCTCACCGATAGAATGTCGGCGCGCTCAGCTTCGAGGCAGCAGCCTTGAAGGAGGCGGTAGTCGATCCTCTGAATGCCTTGCTCCATTTTCCAGACCTACACTGACGGACCGAGCCGAACGAGGAACGTCTGCGTCTCAGGATTTCATCGTCCAACGACCCAGACCTAACCGTTAGAGTCGTAGGGTTTCCGCGGCGCCCCTCACCTCTTCTATCCGGGAGACTCTCGTCGTGCAATCCTCGGTCTTGTAGGAGTTTGGTTGAACTGTGGTGACCAAGTTGGAGGGAAGGTCGAAACCGTTGCGAATGCCTCATACGGCTTTTGACGATATATCGACCAAGATCGACCACAGTCAATTGAGCTGATAAGCAAAAAGGGACAAAGTGATGGCTTGCTTCATGGGCTTAGCATGGTAATCTCAAATATGCAGCGGTAACGTGGTCGCTACACTCGCAGCCACTTACTGGACGGGAAGTGGCTGCAACAGCGATTCGGAGCTGCAGGTCTCGATTTCAACGGCCAGCACGGAAACACACGCCACCACCCCGCCTGACTTCAAACCCAATGATCAAGAGCGCTCTCGCTCTGTGTTGGCAGCACACGCCCAGACACCAGGTGCTTGCTTCTGACGTGTCCGAATTCTGTTGTCTTCGTGCAATGGTCAGCTTTGATTCTGAGGAGGACGAGAGCGTGCACAATTCGCTGGACGTTGGCTATGTTTTGTTCTTTTCTTCGTGAGAGATACGTCAAGTCTTGCCTTATGAGTCTGTCTCCAGCAAGGCCCAAGGTGTGTCAAAAACAACGAGGCATTGGTCGCTTCGACCCTCGAGCTACTAAATCGAGTGAACGATCCTTGTGTCAACAGATTCAGGCCAAACTATGCAATCTGGTCGATTCCAGCAACCGCTACCTAAGATATCGCAAGGAGGGCCTAGGGCGTAACGGCAAAGAGGAGCGTATGTAGGTCAGATTGCTCTCAGAGAAGGGAGTGTGGGCTCAGCACATAGTGATCCGGCCACCGACTAGCCAGAGCATGCCACGACAGCTGGGGATGGCCCCATGGGCATGTATACTTCCCTCTGCATGCATTAGGAACGCTCGACCTGGATCAACGGACGAATGAGGCCGGCCCGGAGCCGGTGGGGTGGAGGTCCAGGTTGTGAGCACTTGCATAAGTAATGCAGACGAACTCTCCTTACAAGCCTTTCCACCATAGACCCGGGGGAACGTAAGAGAACATTGGCATCGAGATACGGAGTGCGACGACGAGGTGGCCATTTCGGTAATGCAAGCATACAAAGTACACTGTCGAGGTAATTGATCGGTCGTGCGATGCACCTAGGTCATTTGAGAAAAGGTAAGTCTTTCGAAATGCTCAAACGGACTGCTGCGGAGAGTAGGTTGTCTTTTGCGCTCGACAGAATGCCATTGATAGATAGATACGAAGGTGGGTGATGATGGAAGCGAACGAAATGTGCGAAGAGGCATACTGAGGAGATAGAACTGACAGGCGTCAGCTGTGTAGAGCATGTGAAGTGACGTGAAGCATCAAGAAATGCGAGTAGACATTCCCCAACGGCGGGCCACATGCCTAGCCAAGAGAAATCTTTGGTAAATAAATCTGCGGTGCGTGAGACGGAGGCTAAGTATGGACGCGATCGCTTCGTTTCTGCACAATGTAGGCAGGCTGTGGAGGACCCAGGTAATGCGTGAGGTAATTGTGTCTGATGGACGAGATAAGACGAACTAAGCCTAGAGAAATCCTGGGAGAAGTAGCTGCAGAAACTTTGTCGGTTCATCTCATGCGACGAAAAACCACTGGGCCGATATGCGAATTGTCAAAACTTGATGTTGGTGTTCGATAGACTAAATCTGGCTATGAAGGCCAGGGATCCATGGTGTTCACTGATATACTCGCCTGCCCTTCACTGTGGCCCGTGATGATGAGAGTAGCTATCCTTGGTTTCTGGAACGGCGAAGACTCATACATTGGTGCCAAAGTACAGATAGTCGGTGGGTAGCAGTGCTGTAGGTGAGGCTAGCAGAGTGTGGTGGATGACCGGTAAGGTTGTTTTCGACTTGTCTGGTTAGCATTCGAAGTTTGAAAGAGCCGGCGCCCGAAGTGTCTATTGTTGCGGCCATGGGCTCCTTTTATGAGTTTGTACACGAGCGCATCCCACGCTTTCGGGCGGGTGAAAGAAGTAGCCTTGTTTCATCCTGCTCAGGCATCCAACAACAACTCCCTAGGCTCGCACCTGCATGTCGTGTCTGATCATCAGGAAGGAAACAGCGGCCTTGGAAGGGTAAGGCTTGAGGATTGAGGAGGTGCTGAGACTGAGAGATCCTTTTGTCATTGGAGACTGTGATTGGAGGCAGACAGGTTGAGGCAGGATAGGTACGTTCCCAGCACAGGATACGTACCTCCTTCACTTCCATCCTGACAGAGCACCTACGTCTCTTAGGTAAGGTAGACGGAATGAAATGGAAATACATTCTCCCCACTTATTCTGAAATCCGATGTTCAGCCGTGGCCTATCTTCCCCGACTCACCGAGTTCCCCGAGGTCCACCGAGTCACCTCCAATCGCAATCGCAGAAGCGGCTTCAGCTCGGAAGGGAAAGGTCTCCAAGGCCATGGGCCACTCAAGCTGGCCCTTCTTTGGCCGTCGTGTCTGAATGATCCCCAACCGGCTTCAGGCAATCTGCATTAGCGGAACATGGCAATCGAGTCGCTGTGCGTTACCAAATCCCATGACACGACGGGGTCGCAGTGATAGAGACCCTTGAGTGGCTGGACAAAAATAAACCCCATCAACCCAGATCCCTGGACCTGGGGAAGGACCCTTGGAAACAAGGGCAGAAACACCATAGTACCATGATTGGCGCATCGTCCGCCCATACGCACCTTCACTATAACATTCACTCACATTGCGATGGGACAAGCAGGTAGTCATGTATGTTTGTCAATGTGTGAGCCGTCAAGTGTCATTGTGTCCCAATCGTGGACAATTTCATTCCGCGACGGGCGGCATGACCAGCTCTGCTATTGACGCGGGGCGGCGTGAGAGCTTCGCCTGCCTCAAATCCGCCTTCCTGCCGATCCTGAATAACGAGAAAAGCAACCCATTTCAATACCATCATACACCGCCGAGCCCAAAGTTACAAGGAAAGTCCGAAAGATGTGCGCAAAAACTAACTCCACGCCATCCGTTCGGACTGAGAAGCAGCAGAAATACAGCAATCAAGAGGACTCATCCTCCTCTTGTTCGGCCTTTAGAGGGACTAATTAGCTTCAGCACAACACGGCCAGATGGAGTGGGGGTTTGGGGGTGTCTTACGTTGTATGCCTGCTTCTCGTCCTCGTAGCGCTTCTTGTCGGTGGCAGCCTTGGCCTCATAGGGACCGCGCTGCTTCTCGTTGAGGGCCTTCCAGCGCTCACCGAGGATCTTGCCGACCTGTCCGAAGGAAATACCGGGGTTCTCCTCACGAACGTTCTCGCGCTGCTCGTTGGCGAAGAACATGTAGGCGGAAAGGCCACGCTTGGGGGCGTTGGGGTCTGAATGGTATGTTAGCTACATGTTCATGGCAAGGTAACTGGTCTAGATAGGCGCAGTGCAAAGTGGGCAAGTCAAAAGTCGTTCGAGGCGTGGCCCAGCGGAATCTTATCAAGAGTCCATTCAGGCCCAGCCTCTCTGGAAATCGATCTTGCCCAGGTTTCACAACGGCTTAAGGCAAGTGAGAATGATTTGGCAACGTACCCTTCTTCGCGCGCTTCTTGGTGTCCTTAGCGGCACCTCGCTTGGTCGCGGCCTTAGGCATTTTGGTATCTTGAACACGACGTTAGTCAAACTGTTTTAATGTCGAGATGAATGTGCTGGTATGACGAGGAGCAAAGGGTCGAGAATGTGATGGAATCGGCGCAACATGACGACTGACGGCAAAGCCGCCGCGCCGTTATGCCGGAAAGCCATAGTGCAAGAGGACCGCGGTGCAACGAGAACCAGGGTGTGTGGGTGGTTGAGTCGCAAGTGCAATTGCGCTCCGCAACGCGAAGTAATTGCAATTTGAAGCTCAAAATCGTCCAAGAGGGATCGTAAAGCATACCTGAGAAGGTTTTTGAGAGGTGGAAAGAGAGGTGTTGATGTGGTGATCTGGACGCGTCAAGCTCTTGTTAGCTAGAAAGCTCTATGATTGAAGCTGGTTGATGGACGAGCGTGTAAGAGACGAAGAGGTGCACGCCAAAGTTCGAAGCTCAACAACGGATCGCACCCACGATATCGACTTGTAAAAAAGCGATTTCTGAGTTGCAAATCGAGGCAGAGTGATCGAAATTGTAGCGACAATGAAAATAGAAGAGGATGATGTTGCGCGTGTATGTTGCGGTGGTTGATGGTGCAAGTGGACAATGGTATATGGGCAGCAGGTACTCACGGGGTTGAGTGCGCGAAGGCAGTAAAGTGTGGTATTGTGAGAGTGCGGATTGTAAGAGAGGAGGATTTGGGTGGGAGATTTGTATGGGAGAAGAAGAGGGAAGGAAATGTATGGGGGGAGGGCCAAGCAGCCTTTTTACTATGGGGGGAGTGATTGTGCGGGAGCAACGCGCCTGGGTGCACTTGTTTTTGCTGGGAAGTCTGGGACGGGGCCAGGACTGACTGCGACTGGCGACTGGGCGGGTGGACTGGGGGTGGTACTTCGTACCGTGTGCGAGACTGAGTGAGAGACTGGGAGAACTGAGGAAGGAAGGGGGGTCACCGTGGATGGGCTCTCCTCCTCTTTCTCCTTGGATCACTCCAAGTCACCTTTTTTTTTTTTTGGCCTGCGCAGGTGCGGACGCTTGTCACTTTCGCTTTCCCTCCCGTCGCTTCCTCGCCTGTGCCTGGGCTTGCTGCTGCACGTTGAATGGCTAGGAGGGGATGGGTGTCTGGGTAGGCTGGGCAGGTATCCGTACCAAACCAGACGACGGGCCAAAAAAAAAAAAAAAGAGGTCTGCGCACTGGCATTGGCAACACTTGTCACTGGGTGGTAACTGGCGGCATTGGCCTGGTACTGGGCACACTGGGCACCCGCCCACCAGGCGAAGGGCAAAAAAGAGGAGAGAGGCAAGAGAGGGGGAAGGCGCGATGAGAAGGGAAAGGGTGTGGGCGCGCCTTCCCTCCCTGACACTCGAGGTGCGCACCCTTCCCTTCTCTTGCCTTTTGCTCCAGAGTCCAGCTTGACCCTTCTTTCCCCATCCTTCTCCTCCCCCCTCCTACGTGGAAGTCCAAGTCCCTCCTAGTTACAGTCCGCGCCCACCCACAAGGTAAAGGTACCTTGCACCAGAGACTACCGGGCAAAGTACCTCACGTTCCTTTCACACCTTGAGTCTGCCTACCCCTTCCTGCTCGTCGCATCTGCCAGGGGACAACGACTACACACACCTTGAAGCGGCCAGCTACGGATACATGCTCGAAGGTACCCCAGTACCTGGATCAGTACGGAAAGATACCTCCCTACCTTACGGATACTTCACCTTAGTATGCAAGTGCGTCCGCACGCAACCTACCTTACCTTATTCGCCTGTTTATTTAATTCCATGGCAATAAATCAAACTGCGGAACCAGAACAAACCAAGTCAGGTGTGGACAATGCGCGAGCAGAAGTTGCGAACATGCCGGCAATGCGATGGAGAAGGAAGGAGCGACATATTGCCTACTGCGTATCCAGCAGGAACTTGCAAGGCAGGCGCCAATGGCCTTAGCTTCAGGTGTACTATGTAAGGCATCCGTCCAGGTGGTCGTGGCCGTAGCCAAAACCGTACCTGGCCAGGTAACGCAAGCAGGGAAAAGAAGCAGGATCTGGCCTATCCTGCGGTGCTCTTCTTTTGCCTTCCGTCCCTCGTCTCAACCCCTCGGGTCTGGTCCAGCTTGTCGCCCGCTTCCCATCCATCTCAATCACTCCATCCTCGAACAGTCCTTGCTCTTGGTGTGCCGCTGCTATTATTGTGTGGTACTGTACAGGTACAAAGCGCACGCAAAACTCCGCACCGAAGTACTGTACATCCGCTTTGTATTTGGGTTTTATATCATATTTTCGCACCGTGTACTTCACAGCCGTCGCGCCTTCTTTCTCCGCTTGCTACGTACGGCTACGTGCCGGCTCTTTCGCCAATGTCTGAGGTGAGGTGCGGTTGAGTCCTGCGCCTGCTCCTACTACGTACTCCTGCTTCGCTCCCTCTTCCAGTCTTAGGTTCCTTTTGAAGCATCTCGTGCTTTCCTTTCCGTCCACCTTACCTTACCCCACCTTCCCTTCCTCCTGTCACTGTCCACACGGACCATCTCTCGTCCATCAACCGACTTCTCCAGTCCAAGACTTTCAGTCTCGCCCAAGTTGCCATTCCTAATCCCTCCCCCTCCACTTCTGACTGCTGCTGTTCCCAGCTGTGAGGGACCGAATACTGGCTCGTCAAGCTTCAGCTTCTTACGAGTCCCATGTCACCATCCACTTACACCACCATGCCATCGACAACTATCATTTGGATCCACGGCCTCTTTCTTCAACACCAGCCATGACCCATCCATTTGAGGATGGTTCCGCGCATGCACCATTAGCCTTGCATACCCTGCTACTTATACCATCCTTCATACGACAGTGATGCGATACCACTAGGCATTGACAGCCTAAGGGAGACGACCTTGTGTACCTATTCGTACTCCCAGATCGCAGAGACGTGCAGTGGCACACCTGCTCCGTCCGACTGCACTTGGCCTGGACCAGGCACTTCTTCGTCATCTTCATGAGCGCTAAGATACTTCCGATCCTCCCTACCGCCTGTAGAATGGCAAGGGCCCGTTCGCTAGACATGCCGTAGGTACATCGGTCAGACATTGAAGACCGACCACGCCGTACGGGGAAGACGGAAGTCCAGTAGCCAACGTTGCCGCGACATTTCCAACTCAAGGCAGTAAGATACCTTATACCTTGGCGACTCTTCCATTAGGTAGTTGCATCTGCTCGGTACGGCATGTTGGATGGTCGATCACAGCAGTCGAGGCTTCTTCTCGCCAACCCTCCGTGGAATTCGAGGTCTGCACGACCTGAGTTAGGTCTATGGGACGACATCACTTCCCTACGCCATCAAAGCAAACCTTCGCCATGGCAGACAAGCTATACTTCGGACACACTAACATGTCCATCACTTGCACTTTGCTGGGGCTGTGGGTGTTAGTGACCTCATGTTCGCGACGTTGTCTCCTTAGCGTCTTCCGCTGACAAGCCTTCGCAACTTTCGGCTGTTTACCAAGACAACAAGGCTCGGCCGGCTGGATTATGGATATTGGGACATCGATGGAGCACCTATGGTGTGGTGGAGGATTCAATGTTTGGAGAATGGAGGAACAAGTCGGCTTACACGCTCACACACTGTGTAAGTGATTGTGCTTCCTCGCCGTCGCTGCGCAATTTCATCCACACTAAAACACCACTCGACACACTTTGCGGCATTCCCCTCTTCAAAGTGGCTTGTCCTATCAACAACCAAGGACATCGCCTCCAAAACGCACCAAAGTCTACAGTTACCGTCGGCTCAGAGTTCTCGACAAACGCTCCGTGTCCGGCTCGCCCTGGGTTGCTGGTCCACGCGGTTAGACAAGATACATACAGAGTCCAGCAGACCCAATGGTGGCTTTCATATGCGGCATAGATTGCAACACCATTTGGCTGAGTTCCGGCGCGAAGCCACCCACCAGCTTTTGACGCGATTTGGAGAGCTCTTGAGCCCGAGGGGAGCTTACACCGAGGCGCCTCTAGACCACTCGCTATCGAAGCATCCACTCGTCGTATTATCAAGAATCGACCTCATAAAAAAAAAAAACGGAACCAAACTGTGATGTCCTGGCAGTCAGGGGCACACCTTCGGCTGGTGTGCACAGAGGCGTAAACTCAGCATCGGGTGACGAGGCGTGATGCGAAGCAGCAGCACCTTGCGCCGTTGCTCAGGGAGATGTGACATTGGAACGACCGGAAGTCATGATGACTGACTGATGGGGATGGCATTCAAGCTGGCCGAAACGGAATCTGGGTACTTGATTCATGCATACGCCCCATGTACCGTCATACGAGATTGCCTTGTACCGCTACTTGGCCCAAGGTACCCCAAACGCGGTCCACCGACTCCGGAATCAGCTTGGGCGAATGCGCCCAATCACTCCTTACGTGCAGCTCACGGTACACTTGGGACCTCCCCAGCCTCCCCTCTGCCGTCGATTCCTACATCCTCTATCCGTCTCCGTAGTGCCTATTGTTGGACTCTCCGAGAGCAGCCTGCTTCTGCAGCGGATGTGGGAACTGGTCGGCTTACTAACAATATTTGGCCATGGTAGGATGCGTGGTTGCTCAGCACATACTGTTCCAAGTCACCTTCCGCAGGTGATCGACGGAGAGCTTACTAGTAGGCACGATTTAGCGATCAGCTATGTTCACCACATCCTATATTCAAAGCGAGTCTACTCCATACAGACCACGACAGCTGGTTTGCTTGAGCATGACACCTGTCATAAGCTTCACATTAAACAACGGAGAAAGAGTCGCGTTACTATTTGCGGAGCTTGACGATTGCACGGCGACCGAAGACCGACGGCGAGCGGCGTGTCTATCTCGTCTCTGTTCTACGTCTTCTAACACCGACACACCACGAAGCGGGCAGAAGCCAGGCGGTGCAACGCTCCCGGCGTCAAAGAAGGGTGGAATACTTCGTCATGCGCACAAAGTGTGCGGGCGTCTCGTGTACCTCGAGGCATAAGACTGGGTAATGCCTGCAACGACAATCGATACGGTCCCCCGCTCCAATGCTCCCAACGCGCACCCAAGACGCCCAATGCAGGTCTCCTCTGCAAATTGGCAAGCCAGCAGCGCGTTTTGCCCATGAGCCAGACAAGTCGTGCCTGCCCAGGACTCCAGTAGGAGGGCGTTGCCGCACCATCTCACCATTCCAGTCAGGGCCGCCGGGCCCAGCCATTTTGCTTTTGCCCGCTTGTTCCCTGTTTGGCTGGGCTGGCACTGGGAAGGCGGTGGTAACGGGCTGGCGAACAAAGTGCGCAAAGTACCGACGACTTGCAGCGGATACACGGAGCCAGGCAATTTCGCTGGTCTGGTTGCCTGTGCTTTGCTGATACTGTGCTGTACCTGATGGTCCCCCGGCAAAATTTGGCCCTCCCTGACTGAAGGCTCTCCCACTTTCTCACTCAATCACTCTCTCCCACACACCACACACACCCCCTCCCAAGCCAAACACTCTTGCTGCTCACGCCTAGGACCTGCACGCGAGAGGTACATGGAGAGTCGGAGACTGAGGTGTAGTGTAGACTGTGTAGTTCAACGCGAGCCCATGCTCCACTCCTCCTGGGCCTCCTGGCTGATCTGTCGCAGCAGACACAGAGCTTGACTGACGGGGAGTGCAAAGCTCCCCCCAACTTTCAGTCCCATTTTCCCTTCCCTCTTCCCTCTTCTAGACGGACCTTGAGTGACGTTGATTATCTAATCTCAAAAGGCATGATTCTTCCATGGTCACATGGTTTGTAATGGAAACGCGAAACGCGTGGTTCACCTCGACGCTTAAGCTGTTCGCGCCGTCTGGGACCTCTCGAATCTGGTCACTTTGCGCGCGAAAGTCACCATAGACGAAGAGGATGAGCTCACTACAACTGCTTTATCAAGCCCCGGGACGTTTTACGACTCCTGTTCAAGAGATTGAAACGCGTTTCATCAGACAGTTATTAATCTTCACTATCTCATACTTTCCAGCGATCCAACTACATACCTAGGTAGACAGAGCAGCTGATCAAGCTCAAGCATTGGCCACAGGAGCAGATCTTGGAGCCAAGCTCACCCACGTGATTCGACATCACCGTGGTCATAGCGTCCGAGGTGCCGCTAAGCCCTGTCCAATTTCGTGAGCCGGCAGGGGCCGAAGGTGAACTTGGAATCCACAAGTGCCTTCAGAAGTTTAGGTGGTGTCCTCAGGTGCCGATGCCGTGCCGTACAGATACACTACTATGAGCAACAGTAGATCCATCGTCCGCAGGGCAGAGCGAGCACGATGATCTGGTAATGCCAACCGTATGGCCCGCCAGCCTAGTGAAGACCGCGGTCACGAGTTGACCGAGCCTCTGAGGGCCCGTACCTGCATACAACCTGCGTAGGGCGGGTTGAAGCGAACGTTCCGAGGTACTGACGTCTTGGGTTTCGGTCCACTCCATTTGACGAGCCCCTCAAGCCGGTGGTAATACGCCATTGTAATTTGGCACCATCTTAGAGCCCTGATTCCTGAGATGATGTTGTCATGGGCCTGCGAGCCTGAGTATACGTATACCATACCTGGATTCTGGGCGTCTGTCCGCAGCCTCCCACGGCGTTCAGGTGCCTTTGTCCGCCCCTGCCCCATGCGCATCGTGGGCCAACGTGAGCTTCAGATCTCCAGGGTCTAGCAAGCTTTTCATTCGTCATCTTCGGGGTCCAGCACTACGTCGCGCAGCGCTTCATCTCTGGACCAGTCTACGCCGCTGCCAACGACCACAGCGCTGGCGGTGCCTTTCATAACTTTCCACCGCTGCCTGCTCGCCTTCATCTCGGCTTCAAGTCTGGCCGTCTCCGCCTGCACGGCGGGGTTGTCAGTCTCGCCCGCACTTTTCTTTTCCGCATCCTCAGTAAGCCTGAGGATCTCGGCTGTGAGCTCCACGTTTTTCCGCCCGACTCGTAGGCTCTCGGCTTCCACCTCGGTCAGCTGCTTGATGAGACCGCGGATGTCTTCTGATTTGTTGGCTAGGGCAACAGAGACGTTGTCGCGGGCGCGGATGTGTGGTAGGAGGTCACTGGTTCATGTTAGCACTCAGATACCAAGTTTAGATGTAATAGTTAGTCATGGATAAAATGGTGTTGGTTTTGTTAGCACATAATAAAGGATGGACGTACGTTTCGATGGGCGTTGACTGTGTGCTCCCATGGACAGCTTTGAGAATGGGGTTGGCAGTCATGACACTATCCGTGATATTGTTCCTCAGAAGCCATCCCGCACGCGCCGTCGACGCGTCCTGCTGAGCCTTTCTCACATTTGCTTCTGTGCTTGGTGTTGTTGAGTCTATCTGTACACATTAGCAATGCGGACTTTGACACTGTCGGTCGCCTTGATATAGGAAGTGTGTACCTGAGACATGGCTCTGTTGTGCCTTCACCAAGGCGACCTTGATCTCGAGGTCGCGAAGCTCATCGTAAAGAGCAAGGACGCGCTGCTCGTCGTTGGAAAGTAAAAGGGTGGGCAGTTTATCGGCTTTGTTTGCTGTCGAAAGGCTTCGATTTGGTAGCTCATCCATGGTCGAAAATGACTTTTACCATCAGATGGCAGAAATTCAGGTTTGTATGGATGAGCCCGATGTCCGAAATGTCACCGCCCCGCCCTCCGGACGCGACGCGCGACTCACTCAGAATCGCACTCAAAACCCCCGAACTCACGGAAAATCGGCAGCTTTTGGTTTCGGATCCGGATGGATGGCGGAGCAAGGTGAGAGCTGGGTTGAGTATGAAAGTTGTGGCGGGTGCGGCGCGGCATGTCCATCATTCCATGGGTGTCAGCCCCATCCCTGGAGCCGTTATCTTATCAGTGGCTGGTGCCCTATGACTGTCCAATCAAATGACTCAAGGCATCACGAGGCGGCGTCACGCTATGCCTCCCAAAGGTTTTTAGCGGGTTTGCAGCCTGCACGAGCTCCGGAGGGCGCCTCAGCGGTCACGTCTTGGAACCTGGCGAACGAACCGCCTTTGCGCTTTTGCAACAACCGACGTTCGTGCATACTTCTGTCTTTCTCTCGGATCCTTTGCAACGACGACGACGACGCCGACAACGAGTCAAACGACGACAGCGATTTCCTTGCGCGCACGCATCAATCGATTTTACCGGGCGACGGCCTTTGTCGACTCTAACACATAGCTACGCCAAACATTGAAACTATTGCTGCAAAGACCGGACTGCAGGCTAGGCTGTCGCAGCTCTTCTTCTCTTCAGAGATGTTCCGGGGATGGCGACGCAGGTGTTGATAGCCCATACGGGCCAGCGCCTGCAGGTGGACACGACACAGTTTTCTGCGTAAGTCAGGTTTTGCCTCCTTGTGAGACTGGGAGAAAGCCGGCTGACAGCTTCATTCGCAGGCTTGATGACCTCAAAGCCTGGATCGCAAGGCAGACGTCTATTCCGGCGCACCAGGTTGTTGCCTTGACTGCTCAAGGTCGGAGTGTCAAGCTGCAGACTCTTCACCAGGAGGTACGACACCCCTCCTATTTACGGGCAAGAGAGAGAGAGAGAGAGAGAGAGAAAGAGAGAGAGGCCTTGAAGCTGACCTGCTGGCACAGACCGAGATCTACATCTACGATATTCGAATATCGCAACCAAACTCCCCCAACGTCGCCTCGTCTCCAAAGTCCGAGCTCCCCCTTCCTAAGCGATATGCTGTCCCGAACGCCCCCAACTACATCGGCAATATTCGTGTTCTATCAGAATGGCAGGCCCTCTACAAGGAGCGCCAGGCATGGGCCCGTGGCATCGTCGATGACTCGGCTCGTATGACGGCCGAGATTCAGGAGCGGTATAGCGAAATGGATGTCATGGTCAAATGCCTTGATGCTGCTGTGGCCAATCTGGAGATTAGTGTGAAACAGATTGAGCCCAAGTACGCCGAGCTCAAGAAATGGGTAGAGCCTGCGCTGGGCGAGTACGAGCAGCTTGCCGAGAACTGGGAGCACTACCTCACCGTGGCGCGCAGTGTGCCCATCTCTGCTGCCATGGTGCGTTTCATGACCTCCAGGGACCTCAAGAAGAAGACGACGACGCTTGAAGACCTGATCGAGATCGACACTGCGAAGAAGTCTGGACGGTTGGCGCCGACATCCTTGAAAAAGTTCACCACCAAGGCGACGGATCTGGAGAAGGCCGCGAAAATGATGTATGGCGGACTTGAGCAGCTGATAGGAGACTTTGACAATCTCGTCGGTCGTTCGGCGCTGTCGCATAGTGGCGAGGCGCAGCAGTTGCTCCTGGATGTCGAAGCCGTGGCCAAGAAGATAGAGACTGATTACCACATCGTCTTGGAGTACCAGGATACGCAGCCCAACGTCCTTCAAGCCTCGCGGACGGCGGAGAACCACACGTCACGCCTCATTCCAAGCTTGAAGAAACGCTCCGCGGAGATGGATGATATGCTGCTCTATGTCACGCAGGCACGGAACGCGATATCGGCCGATTCAATTAGTTTTATGCGCAACATCACCGAGATCACCACATTACACAGCAGCGTTAAAAATCAGATTAATGTCTTGAACCAAGCCGAGGACGACATGACGACCTTTGACTATTTGCGTCTCATTCACCAGCTCCCGTACATGTACGCCTCTTTCGTCTCTGAAGCAGTTCGCCGCCGGGAGTGGTCCGACAAGATCAAGACGGATTCGTCGACACTGGCCAACGAGATGGCGCTGTTTCAGGACGAGGAGTCAAAGAGACGGAGGAAATGGCATAAGATGGTCGGCAGCATGTACGGATCAGACAAGACCGAGGCAAACGTACTTGGACTCGAGGTCAACTTGCTCGGCGAAGAGGAAACTTGGCCCAGCATGGTCAAGCGGGACCTGGAAGAATTCCTGGAGCACCTCCAGAAGCAACAAGCCGAAGTGGATATCATTGAGGATGTGATGAAGCTTGTGAATGAGTTGAGCAGCCCTACGAAGCAGCAGTCGAAGAGGTTGAAGGCCTTCAAAAATGGTAGTGTTCATGAAGCCGCCCTTGGACGAAGTGGCTTGATGATCCGCGGCGATGATGAACTACTGCGCAGCCTCCAAGACGACAAGTCGAAGCTCGAGAACAAGTTGAAAACGGCGGAGAGCCGCGTACGAAGATTGGAAGACTTGCTTCACAGACAAAGCGCGGCTTCTCGACCCGGTATTGGGGGCTTGTTCGGACACGAGAGGAACGATTCGACCAACTCCGTTAGGTCGACAGCGACTGTTGATGACCATCGACGCTCTACAGGAAACTCAGAAGCGCTTTTACAGAGGATACAGCAGCTCGAAGGTGAACTGAATGCTCGTCGGGCATCTGATCAATCAGAGGCTTTGGCGAAGCGAGTGCAGCAGTTGGAGAGCGAACTGGATCAGCGTCAATCATCCAACGATACTGAGGTTCAGCAAAGAATACAGCACCTTGAAAGCGAGCTCAATGCCGAGAAAGAGAAATCGGCGGCGTTCGAAAAAGACCTCAGCGTCCGGGCTACAGCGCACGACGACGTCAAGGACCGAATGGAAGAGGCCAACTCTACTAAGAAGGAGCTTCTCGAGAACATGGAGGCCCTGCAGCGGGAGTTTGTCGAAGAGCGCAAGTCCCTGGAGAACGAGATCAAGGGACTCAAGGCCCGCATCGAAGACACAGAAGATGAGATTGAGAATTTTGGCGAGTCGAGAGAAAACGAGAAGGCTACCTACATTGAGCGAATGCACGAGCTGGAGGCTGAGGTTGAAAGGCTACAAAAGGAACAGAAGGATGAGGCTCTCAAGACTCAGGGCCAAGTCGACTTTCTACGCAACGAGGCACGACTCCAAAGGGAGCAAAATGAGTCTCTCGATAAGCAGCTGCAGACCGCCAACGACGAGGCCAAAAAGCTTGCCAAGGTATTGGGCACTACGCAGGAGACGGCCGAGACACAGATGAAGGCGCTCCGTGATGTTCACGACCAGCTGTCGCCGAACGATGACACTACCGAGGACCTCAACGATCTCATCGACGCACTCATTTACCGGGCCACTGATGTTGCCGCCAACATGAAGACCCTTGAGAGCGACCGATTAATTCTCAAGGCCGATCTGGAACAAGCTGACGAGCAGGTCAAGAACCTGAAGGCCACAATTTCTGAAACGAAGAACAAACTTGCTTCCGAAGAAGACAATTCCCGGCACCTGAAGGAAAATCTGGAGGGAGAGAAGGCTCGTGTGACTGCTCTTGAAAAGGAGGCCGCTGAGGGCCGAGAGCAGCTTGATCAACTTCGTGCCAAGATTGCCGATGGCGAGACGGGCTCGGAGAGCCTGAGGAAGAGGCTCGACGAGGAAGAAGGACGAATCAGTTCTATCACCGAGGAGCTTGCCTCCAGACAATCTCAAGTCGGCAGCCTCGAGGAAGAGTTGCGACTCTACAAGGAGAAGATGGAGAAGTCTCAGTCCAAGCTCTCAGCTGTGCTTGGTCACTTTGAGTCTAGATCTGAGAAGACTAAGGATCTTACGCAGCGTCTTTACTCTCAGAATGACAGATTGTGCCGGCTGTTAGAGCGATTGGGCTTCTCGGTCACTCGGCAGGACGCGACCATGACAATCCAAAAGGTTCCTAGATCCGAGAGGGGCACCATGAGCCAATACCACGCCGCAAACGACTCGTCTGATCCTAGTCAGTCCACGATTCGCCGCTCCGGCATGCTCACGAGTCGCACTCTGGCCGATAGCACCGACCTTGAGTTGCTGTACTGGATGAATAGCAATGATGCCGACGCAGAGACCGAGAAATACGAGGCTTTCATGACACGGCTGGGCACCTTCGACATGGATCTGTTTGCTGAGACGGTCTACAAGCGTGTCAAGGATGTCGAGCACCTTGCCCGGAAACTCCAGCGAGACGCGCGTGCGTACAGGGAGAAGGCGCACACCCTTCAGCGGGACTCGCACGAGAAGATTGCCTTCAAGCACTTCAAGGAGGGTGACCTCGCTTTGTTTCTGCCCACCCGGAACCAGACGGCTGGCGCATGGGCTGCTTTCAACGTTGGCTTTCCTCACTACTTTTTGCGGGAGACAGATGCCCATCGTCTGCGATCTCGCGAGTGGCTCGTGGCTCGCATCACTAGGGTACAGGAGCGCGTCGTGGATCTTTCAAAAAGCATGCATAAGCAACTCCCTGATACCGACTCGGTTAATGGTGAAGAGGACGATAACCCCTTCCAGCTTTCCGATGGCCTGCGGTGGTACCTGATTGATGCGCACGAGGACAAGCCCGGCGCGCCCGCAACGCCTGGGCTGGGCAAGTCTACCATCGCAACGAACAATGTCGAGGCTATGGCGGACATGCACACACACGCGCAGACAAATGGCAAGGACAAGCAGCGCGCCAACACCCACAGCATCGAAGGCGTTAGCAAGGCGCTCAGCAAGAGCCTAGAGAGCCGTCGGAGCAGCTCCAACTCAAAACGGGCTCTCCCCTTTGCTGTAGGTGGCGGTGGTGCGGCACTCCTCAAGGGTAACGCTTTGGGCAGCGAGACAAATTCTCTTCGTGCAGTCGCTCCGGATACGCCGACCGAGACGAACCACCCTGAAGAAGGACAACTGGGACCGTCGACGAATGGACACGAGCAGTCGGGACAGGCAGGCCAGGCATCGAGCCCGCTTGCGGAAGAGGGTCAGGCCGATAGACCCAGGTCGCCCGAGGTACGGAACATGATCGATTCTCTCGTTGGCCCCTAGACCAGCAAAAAAAGCCTCC